AATTTTCCAACACTCAGAGCTGCTTTGGGGGTGGAGGAAGGGCAATGAGCAGTCTGTCCTTGGAGGTGTGCAAGCAGGAGCTTGGCTTCAACAGGAATTTCCCCCTCATGGGGCTTGCTATAAAGAGTCTGTCCAACCCTAAAGGATGACAAGAATGTCTGAGCATCCTTTGGAACTCAGGGTAGGAAAAAAAAATACATGGAACAAATTTCTTTTAACATGGACGTTTGGAGTCAGGAAGAAATTGATTTGATCTGTTTCCACTATAGCTGTGAATGCTAAGGTGGCCGTTTATCTTTGCTGAGTCTCAGTTCCTTCATTCGTGAAATGGTGGTGGCTGCCTCCCAGGCCTTTTTAAAAAAATTGTTCTGCTATTACAGTTGTGCCAATTTCTCCCCCTTTGTCCTCCTCCACCCAGCCTGCCCCCAGCCCGACTCCCACCATCAATCCCCACACAGTTGTCCATGTCCATGGGTCATTCATCCATGTTTTTTAACTAGTCCCTTCCCCTTCTTTCCAACATTTCCCCTGCTGGTCACTGTCAGTCTGTTCCATGTTTCCATGTCTCTGGTTCTGTTTTGCTCATTAGTTTACTTTGTTCATTAGAATCCTCTTATAAGTGAGACCACATGGTGTTTGTCTTTCACTGCCTGGCTTATTTCACTTAGCATAATATTCTTCAGTTTCATTCATGCTGTCACAAAAGGTAGGAGCTCCTTCTTTCTCTCTGCTGTATAGTATTCCATTGTGTAAATGTACCACAGTTTTTTGATCCACTCATTTACTGATGGGCACTTAGGTTGCTTCCAGAACTTGGCTATTGTAAATTGTGTTGCTGTGAACATTGGGGTGCATAGGTTCTTTTGAATTGGTGTTTCAGGGTTCTTAGGGTATAACTCCAGCAGTGGAATTGCTGGGTCAAAGGCAGATCCATTTTTATTTTTTTTTGAGGAAATTTCATACTGTTTTCCACAGTGGCTGCACCAAGCTGCATTCCCACCAGCAGTGCAGTAAGGTTCCCTTTCTCCACAACCTTGCCAGCACTAGTTGTTTGTTGATTTATTAGTGATAAACATTCTGAGTGGTGTGAGATGGTATCTTATGGCTTTAATCTGCATCTCTCTGATGGCTAGTAATGTTGCGCATCTTTTCATGTCTGTAGGCCCTCTGTATGTCTCCCTTAAAGAAATGTCTGTTCAGGTCCTTTTTTCATTTTAAGCATTTAATTTATTTATTTTTAGAGTGAGAGGGAGAAAGAGAGGGAGAGAAACATCCATGTGTGGTTGCCTCTCATGTGCCCCCTACTGGTGGCCTGGCCTACAACCCAGGCGTGTGCCCTGACTGGGAATCAAACCGGTGACCCTTTGGTTCACAGGCCAGTGCTCAGTCCACTGAGCCACACCAGCCAGCTTTTCCCATTTTTTAATTGGATTGTTTGTCTTCCTGGAGTGGAGTCATGTGAGTTCTTTATATATTTTGGAGATTAAACTTTTGTCCAATGTATCATTGGCAAATATGTTCTCCTATATGGTCAGTTCCCTTTTCCTTTTGATGATGGCTTCTTTCGCCATGCAGAAGCTTTTTAATTTGATGTATTTCCATTTGTTCATGTTTTTCTTCATTTCCCTTGCCCTAGGAGATATATCGGCAAAAATATTGCTCTGTGGGATATCTGAAATTTTACTGCCTGTGTTTTCCATGAGGACTTTTATGATGTCACAACTTATATTTCTTTTTATCCACCTTGAGTTTATTTTTGTGTATGGTGTAAGTTGGTGATCAAGGTTTTTTGTTGTTGTGTGTTTGCTTTTTGTGTTTTGTGCATGTACCTGCCCAATTCTACCAACACCACTTGTTGAAGAGGTTATTTTTACTCCATTTTATGTTTTTGTCCCCTTTGTCAAATATTAATTGACCATAGAGACATGGGTTGATTTCTGGGCTCTCTGTTCTGTTCCACTGGTCCATGTGTCTGTTCTTATGCCAGGACCAGGCTGTTTTGATTACAGTGGCCTTGTAATACAGTTTGATATCAGGTATTGTGGCCCCTCCTACTTTGTTCTTCTTTCTCAGAATTGCTGAGGTTAGTTAGGGTCTTTTTAGGTTTCATGCAAAATTTTTGGAGCATTTTTTCTAGATTAGTGAAATATGCCATTGGTATTTTAATAGGGATTGCACTGAACATATAGATTGCTATGGGTAGTATGGACATTTTAATGATGTTATTTCATTCAGACCATGAACATGGTGTATGCTTCTACTTATTTGTGCCTTCCTCAATTTATTTGTTCAGTTCTACTGTTTTCCAAGTATAGGTCTTTTACTTCCATGGTTAGATTTATTCCTAAGTACTTTATTTTTCTTATTTCTATAGTAAATGGTATCCCCCCTGCCCCCAATTTCTGTTTCTGATAGTTCATTATTGGTGTACAAAAATGTTATTGACTTCTGAATGTTGACTTTGAATCCCCCTACTTCGCCCCATTCACTTATTAGGTCCAGTAGTTTTTTGCTGGAGTCTATCGGGTTTTCTATGTCCAGTGTCATGTCGCCTGCAAACAATGACAGTTTTACTTCTTCCTTTTATTTCTTTTTCTTGTCTGATTGTTATGGCTTGAATTTCCAGAACTATATTGAATAGAAGTGGTGAACGTGGACATCCTTGTCTTGTTCCTGATCTTAGGGGGAAAGATTTTAGTTTTTGCCCATTGAGTATTATGTTGGCTGTAGGTCTCTTGTATTTGGTCTTTATTATGTTTAGATGTTCTCCCTCAGTTCCTACTTTGCTGAGTGTTTTTATCATAAATTGGTGCTGGATTTTATCAAGTGCTTTTTTAGCATCTATTGATACAATCATGTGATTTTTGTTGTTCATTTTGTTTATGTGACATATTATGTTTACCGATTTGCAAATATTGGACCATCCTTGCATCCCTGGGATGAATTCCACTTGATCATGGTGTATGATCTTTTTAATGTATTGCTGGACCTGGATTGCCAATATTTTTTGGAGGATTTTAGCATTTATGTTCATGAGGCATATTGGCCTGTAACTTTCTTTCTTTGTTGTGTCTTTATGTGGCTTTAAATTAGGGTAATATTGGCCTCATAAAAAGAGTTTGGGATTCTTCCCTCTTCTTGAATTTTTTGGAATACTTTGAGAAGAATAGGAGTTAGGACCCCTGGCTGGTGTAGCTCAGTGGATTGAGCATGGGCCTGTGAACCAAAAGATCACGGTTTGATTCCCCATCAGGGCACATGCCTGGGTTGCAGGCCAGTTCCCAGCAGGGGCCAGTTCCCAGCAGGGGATGCACCAGAAGCAACCATACATTGGGAAAAAAAGAATAGGAGTTAGTTCTTCTTTGAATGTTTGGTAAAATTTGCCTGCCTCTCAGGCTTGAGACTAAGATCTAGGTGGGTGTATTGACCGTAAGTGCTCGGTCACTGTCAGTGCCTCCCTCGCCCTCCAGTGCAGCCCTCCCTTTGCTTCCTCACTCTGGCTCCACCTCCATCGATCCCCTGTGGAGCCTCCTCCCTGGCTTGAGCCCTAGCTCTGCTGGGCTTCCAGTCTAACGGAGATGGAGTCACTCAGGGTGGGTGTTCCAAGATGAAGAGAACCCCTGAGGACTGGGAGGAGGATATTGTGGGCTTCCTGTGTGAGGGGAAACTTGAGCTGTTCCTTGAGGGTTTGATTCGCAGTAGGTACAAGGACACTTCAGGCCTTTGGGTCACAATGTGGAGATGGAAATGGTTCTGGCATGTTAGAACGATGCCAAGGAGGCACTTGCATGAAGGCAAGGAGCAAGCTTCTGAGAATCAAGGTAAACAGGAGTGAGCGCGTTGGATCAAGGCAAGCCTCCCTGCCCTCCTGCTTGCCCAGCCATCAAGAACAGTGGGCAGTGGTGGAGGGTGGTGGAGCCTCTGCCTGCTACCTTGGCCCAGAGGGCTGCTCAGAGTCAGCTTGGGGCACCCTCATATGCACACACTGACCCTGGAGCCAAGTAAGGACCAAGGATGGATCCCAACTTGTCCTACCCGCCCCCCCCCCCAGCTCCTTAGCACTTGAAGGCACACAGTGGAGCTCAGAGAAACCTGATGGGGTGGGGAGATAGGTAGGTGGAGAGGTGATTGCAGGATGGCTGGTATAGGTAGATAGGTGGGCAGGGAAGGGATTGGTGCTTAACTGAAGGTGAGGACAGGTGAAAGGGGAGATGGAAGGTGGGTGTGCAGATGTCCTGAGTGGGGGGATGGCTTGGCGTGGGGCTGGGTGAATGTGAGGGCAGGCGGGGTGCAGGGTTGGTGGTGGGAGCAGTGGTGGACTGTTGGATAGATATGTTGGTGGGGTGGGGGCAGGAGTAGGAGGACTGGTGGGTGCATGCGAGGGGGCTGGGGACTTGGTGAATCAGAGGGAGTGTCGGCAGTCTGGGAAGGGAGCGCGATGGCGGGCGAGCTGGAATGTGGGTGGGTGAGTGCATATGCGGCTGTTTGGGGCTGTAGGCAGATGTGTACGTGGGAAGCAGGGTTAGTGGGTGTGTTAATGGGGTGGTAGCAGAATGGGTGGTGTGATGGTGGGTGGGCCGAGTGTTGGTAGGTAGGAGGTGCATGAGTGGGTTTTAGAGCTGAGTGGGTTGTGGGTGGGAAGTTTGGGAGTGGAGTGGTGGATACATTGGGGGTTGGTAGGTGGATGTCGACAGGGGTGTGTCTAGATGTTGATGGACTGGTAGGTAGATGGGTGGGTAATGGAGGCAGGGGGTGGTGGGGAGAGCTGTGTATGCAGGTGGGTGGAGGGTAAGCTGGTGAGTGGGACAGCAGGTGAAGAATTGGATGTGGGTTGACAGACGGGTGGACAGGAGTGCTGGAAGGCAGGCGGAAGGCCTGTCAAGTGGGGGGTGGATAATGGATGTGTGTGTGGGTAGGTGGTGAGCTGGCGGGGCAGTGGGCAGATGGGGTGTGGACGGAGGAAGGCAACTGTTGGCACTGACCACCTTGTCTCTTGTCAGGACACCAGCCACACATGGGAGATTCCTGGCCCCGGAGCTCTGCACACGAGGCACCAGAGCTGAACCGCCAGTGCTGGGTCCTGGGGCACTGGGTGTGACCGAGACCCAGCCTGGCCCTCAGACCTCAGGCCATCATTTGCACCAGCCCCCCGCCACAAGACCACTGGTCTGGCACCCACTGAAACCTGACCTGTGTGCTCTGAACTCAGCCAGCCTGCATGGGAGACACCAGGCCTGCCCTGCCCACCACTGCCTGGGTCTCGGGGCCCCAGCCATGGGGCCAGCGTGAACTGCAGAAACACTCGGGGTTGTACCAAACAACCTTGGGACAGCAACTTTGGGACAGAGCTTTGGTGACATGCAGAGCACTGCTGGGGGCAGCTGGGATGCTGGGAGAGCCAAGGACATCAGCCGTTGGAAGCCTGGGGTCCCCAAGCCAGCTAGAAAGTTCAGGAGGGCACGGGTGGGGCTTCCTACAGGAGGGGCGTGGCACTGGCACCATGGGGGTCACACAGCAGGCGCCAGCAGGGGCTCAATAAATGCTTGTCGAACCTGTTTTCTTGCTGTGCATGGAGGCCATTTGCTCTCTGGGCTGTGGCTGCACCTTCATGGCTCCATCCTGTCAGGTCCTCAAGGAGCCTGAAGGTGAAGCAGCCCTGACTGTGCTGCAGTCGGGGTCAGACACTGAGCTCTGCAGGATGGAGGAAGCCCAGAGCCAAGCTGGGCTTGTGGGCAGGGTCAGGCTTGCAGGCTGCCTCGGATTCCAGAGGGTGGGAAAGCTGGAGGCATCAGGCAGATGGGAAATGTGGGGTGGGCCAGAGAGAAGCCCTCACACCCAGATCCTAAACACACCTGACCCCAGTGGGGACCTTTACCCTATGTCTAGAGATACCTTCCATCAAATCCTAAGGCCTGGAGACCTGGGGAAATAGATTCTTATTACAAAAACAAGGGAACTCAGGGTCACGGAGATAAAGAAACTTGCCCCCAAGATCACAAAATAAGCAAATGGCAGAGATGGGGTTTGAACTAGGATTCCTGACTACAAGAAGCCTCATCTCTTCCCAGAGGATTTCCCCCATAGCGCTTTCCCCCAAGCAGAGAATGTTCTTCAGTCTTCCATAATCCCATCATCTGTCCATCATCCATCCACTCCTTCATCCATCCATTCATCATTCATCCATCATCTATCCATTCATCATTCATTACCCAACCATCATCATCTGTCCATCATCTGTCCATCAGCTATGCATTCATTCATCCACCCATCATCCTTCCATCATCCATCCCTTCATCCAGCCACCCATCATCCATTCATCCATCCATCTATCATCCATTCATCCACCAATCACCATCTATCACCATCCATCATCCATTACCCACCCATCAACCACCTATCAGTTGTCATTGTTCCCTGTATCAGACATCCATCCATCATTCTGTCATGTATCACTCATCTTCATTATTCAACCATCCACCCATATATTCATTTATCCAGTGATACAATTCATTGTGTCCCTACTATGGGCCAAGCACTGTGGTAGGCACTTGAGATAAGATATCGAACCACCCAGAGAGGACGTCTGTCTTTGCACAGCCCACAGGTGGGCAGGACAAACAACCAGACAGATGACTATAGTTCAGTGTGTGAGGTGTGTGGTGCCCAGCTCCGGGCCAGGCAGCTCTGCGTTTAGATTCCAGCCCCTTCACTTGAGACCTTGGGCAAATTACCTGGCCTCTCTTGTGCCTCATCCCCATGGACACATGAGGATGACCATTATAACTACCTCTTAAAGCTGTTCTGAGGGTTAAATGAGCCAGTGCACGTGAAGCATTCAAAACCGAGCCTGGCACAGATAAGTGCTTTGTCGGTGTTCGCCGTTACTGTGATGAGGGCCTGCTGGGTTGAGGGCAGAAGCAAGAAGAGGCTCTTTTAAGAAAATGACTCTTAAGCCAAGACATGAAGGTTGTCTAGACATCAGGCAGGCAAGAGTGGAGAAGGGAACATTGCAGAAAATTTAGAATAGTCTAGATGGCAGGTGTGGAGAAAAGGGAGGGCAGCAAGGTGGCGAGGAAGCAGGCTGCGGCGGTTGGAGGAGCCTGGCCGCGGTGCCAGAAGCCCCTTCAGGAAGCTGAGCCCTCGTTCTGGCCGGCAGCAGCAGGGGCGCTTTTGGCGGAGTGGGATGCTTCCCGACCGTGCCTCTGGGAAGGCCGCCGAGGCCGTGGGCAGAGAACAGATGGGGAAGGCCAGGCTTCCCCCCTCGTCCTGACCATACTTGAGGGGAGAGAAGAGGGTGTGGCTTGGGGACAGGACAAAGAGCACAGATTCAGGAGCTAGTCAGGAGGGGAAATCAACGGGCTTGGGTGGACTGATGTGGGAGGAAGGGAGAGTCAACAATGTCTTGAGGCTTGGGTGCCTGGGGGACTCCCAGGCGGAGGTGTACGCTCATTCATTCATTTATGGAGTGCTCCCATAATCCATTTTTCATTCGTTCAGTATTTTGGACCTACTATGTGAGGTGGGAGGTGGTCTGGGACAGAGACTAGGGCCCAATTACAAAGGCCTGGCTGTCAGGACAAGAGTTCGGGCTCTGGCCCTGGGCGAGAAGGCCTACTGCAGCGGCCGGGCTGGGCGGCGGTGCCCGGGTGGGGGCCTGGCCCGGGCCCGGGTGTCTCGGAGCTCTTCATTCTCACTCCGAGTTCCTTCTGAAGTCGGCAAGTGGACCACAGAAGTCCAGGACATAATTTTAGTTGGCACATGGGCAAAATTTTAATCTATTTTAATAGTCGTGTTTATGTAAATGTGTATTAGGAAAAATATGTAATGGGCACACCAGTGCCATGAGTTCACAGTAGGCATTCAAGTAAAAAGACAGAGTCAGCTTAGAGAAAAACGCTATTAAATAAATAATTGTGCGAGTGTACGTGGTTATGCTATGTGGACGGCTCAAGCAGCGGCCATTCTTACTCCCTGCATGGGCCGGGGGAGGGGAGGGGAGGGGGAGGAGACCCACAGGTCCACTCACGCTTCAGGTCCTTTGGTTCCCTCCTGAGCACCTGCTGGCCAGGGTATGAGAACTAGCTGTCTTTCACTCTTACAGAGTTTGCAGCAAGAAGGCTGCTGGTTAGATCAAAGGAAGCACTTCCAGGCGGGCTGGGTGAATGATCCCAGTGGGTCCCCACTGGGAGTTACTGGGAGGGTGGCTTCGTGCGGAGAGCACGTGCCACTGTCCGCCTGAAGCTGGGAGGAGGGAGAATCACCCGATCTGCAGGCAGGGGTGGCTGGGTGAGCCAGAGAAGCCTGGGTGGAGGTGCAGAGGCTCCATCCTCCTGCCCCTGCAAACAGCTTTCCTGGCTCCTTCCCCTGTGCTGAGCAGACATGTCTGGCCACTGAACGGCCGCTGGCTTGCATGCACCTTTCATCCTGACCACCACGAGTCGGCCTGACTCACAGACCAGAGGACTTGTCCTGTTCTGCCCTGGGCACCCATACCTAGTGACCCTGTAGTTACAACTCCTGGGCTTGAGTACACACACCAACCTGGACATTGTGTAAGCTCGAGATAACACTCTCCAGGTGCACATGCACTAACACACCCCTCGTGCCTACGAGCTCCCCGTGGACACACCCCCGCTCACGTGCACCTGTGCCGGCCCTGGGCACACTCGGCCCTGCACCCACGCCTGCACTCACCGGGTGCCCTGAAACAGGGCTCCGGCCTCTCATTTGCCCATGCCACCCCCTCTCCCGCCAGATTCGGAGAGTCCCCAAGGCCCTGGTCCTTTCCCTGGTTGAGGGCTGATGGGCAGGCCCAGGCCGTAGGCGATCGCTGGGCTGTTGTCCCTCCTCAGCTCGTGGCTGTGATGAGCAGTCATTCCAGCACCCCCACCAAAGTCGGCCCTGGCTCCGGTAATGGAAACGTCAGCTTGATTCATGGGCACTCGCCCGCCGCAGCCAGGCCGGAGGACAGGCGCGCTGGGAGGTTCCTACCAGGGAAAGGCCACCGCTGCCAGTGTGCTGACCCCTTGCTCGGGGCGGAGGTGGGGGCGAAGAAAAGCATCTGGGCCTGCCGAGTGAATTCTAACGACAAAAATGTCACTTCAGGACGTGGGAAGTTCTTCCTAGGTGACCCCAGGAAAGACCTGCCTGACGCTGGAGTGGTGAGGGCGGGCGTCTCACAGGAGGGGCGGCGCAGCAGGGGTGGGAGGGTGTGGGCGGGCGTGGGCGCGTGCGCAGGTGCTGCGGTTGAGAGGAGCGCCCTGCGGCCTTGGCCTTGAGGCAAGGACCCGATGGGCGGAGCGGGCGGCGCGGGTCTGCCGCTGGGCGGTCATCCGGAGTGGGGGCAGGTGGGGCCTTGTGGATTATAACAAGGAGTGTGGCCTTCACCACCTGCAAACCACAGGGAGCCATTGAGAAAAAGGCTTTTTTTTTTTTGGTCACAATATTATATTTTGAACCAAAAATACTGAAGAAAAGGAAGAAAGTATATGAAGAGAATCTCAAAGAAAAGTGACTGACAACTCAGTGCAGACCCACGTGGGGGCTCCGGTGACAGCGGTGCCAGGAGGGCTCTCGGGGGTGGACATGTCAGCTCCGCATTTTGGGAAGTTGTCCTGGTCGCGTGTGGGGGGTGGGGTGGGGCAGGGTGGGTCCCAGCAGGGACCTGGGGGGGCGCTTAGAGGGCGGTGACTCTGGGGAAGGGGAGGAGAAGCAGTGGCATGGCCTGGAGGTGAGGGAGGGGCGTGAGGGGCAGCAGAGCGCTGGGCGGGGCCCCGCTCCTCCGAGGCTCCTGTCTGGGCTTTGCTGCTGTGCAGCCGGGACAAGCCCGTGCGGGGCCGCGCAGGGCCGGAGCGCGCAGCTTGGACTGCGGTTCAGCTCCACTCGCCCCTCACTCTGGGCTGCGGGGCGGAGAGCCAATCGCACCACCGCACCAGTGGACGGCCAGCCGTAGGCCTGAGGACAAACAGCTCCGCTGAGGACCATCAGTCGTGAGGAAAAACCAACCTGCTCCGCTCTCAGGGGTCTGCTGTGCGGACAGAGGGAGAAACAGCATGGGACCACGGCCCTGCCCCAGTGCGCGGTCCGGCCCCCGCCACGCTGGTAATTGCTTCTTTGGCCACATTTCACCTGGACTGACCCTGTCTGAGCCTCTGCCTTAGGGGAGACTGGTGGCTGAATTGATGTCCAGAGGCCTCGTCGGAGCCTGGCAGCTACCAGAACCGGTCAGGACCTGGGGGAGGAGGGACCGGGACTCCAGAGCCGAGGGGGCCTCCGCACCAGAGAAGTTCCATGGCGAGAGGCCGGGGTGGCCAGCCTGTGCCCCAGGCACCCTTCCTCAGACCTCCTGGCCCTCCCTGGGAACTTCCCGGGTGAGGGCATGGGTGGTGAGCAGGGGTGCAGCAAGGCTGGGTCAGGGAGAGGCAGTGTGGGAAGGAGCAAAGCAGCAGGGCAGGGGCGAGAGGGGCAGAGGAGGGTGGGCAGCAACCTCTGCCCAAAGGCTAGTGCCCTTCCCAGACCGAGCCGCGGGGGCTAGGCAGGCGTCCCAGAAGTCAACACGTGTCAGCTGGGAGGTAGGGACATGCTCCCGTGGTGAGGAGTCCAGGCCTAGGGTCCTCTCTCGTCCCCCAAGTCACTTACTCTAAAGCCTCAGTGTGCACACCTGCAAACTGGGCGCGATCCTGCAGCACATAGAGTATGTCTGCCTCCCAGGGGTTCCTTCGTGAAGTGGGCACTGCCGGAACCCTGCTGGGCAGGAAAGCCCAAGGGAGCGCAGGGTGTGAAGTCCCTCAACAAGTTTGCACTGCTAGGAGCTGGTGGAGGCTGGACTTGAACCTGTCCAGCCAGCCCTAGGGCCATCGCTCACCATCACCAACCCGCTGGGGGAAGGGCACCTGCTGCAGAAGGTCTGTGTGCGGCACTGACATGCGCCTTCAGTGACGAAACCCGCAGAGCATCAGCGTGGGGGAGGGCTCACTACTGGTGGCTGTTGTTTTTGTTGTTACTGCCACAAAATATGGCTGCCAAAGGCTGTCCCTTCGGCAGGGGCTGTGAGTGGAACAGTCTTCCAGGGCCGGGACCCTGGAAGTGCTGTCCTGAATGCCACGCGTCTCACGAGAGGTCAGGGACATCCTGCACCGCCAGGCAGACAGCCCCCCAGCTCACTGGGGTGCATGACCCGTTGCATGGAAGTCCCACTTGCCTCCTCGAGACCCCAGCCGGGGCCTGTGGCCTGGCTGGGTGCCCAAGGCTCAGCTGAGCCCTCCACGCGTCCAGGCAGCCAGGGCCTGGCTCCCAGGAGTGCAGTCCTTCCCACTTGGCCACGCAGCCATGTCTGCCCCGCTGGACTTGGAACCAGTTTTATCTGGGGTGCTTGGTGTTTGTTTGCTTGGGTAAGTTGAGCAAAAATTTAAAAGTTGGATTTCACATTAAAAATAAATAAAACACCTGAATTTCTGGCTTCTCTTAAGAGCACTAAAGACCTGGCATTTCAGGGCCACTGGCGCTAGACTGCTGCCGGCCAGGCCCGCCCAGGCCCGCCCAGGCCGGCTTCGGTCCCCGAACCAAGGGGCCCAGGCCAGGGGTGCCAGCTGGTGGCCGAGAGGCTTATCGTGGCTGAGGAGTGGAGACGCCTCACTCACCCCCCTTCCCCGGTTCTCCAGGGCCGGCCCAGGTGCACAACCGTGGATGGAAGCACAGGGCTGGCTCTCCGGTGTCCGGGCAGAGCAAGGCCGCTCAGTCTTCCTAGGAACTTGGAGAGAAGCAGGGACAGGAGAGGGCTGCCAGAGGCCCTGACACCTTCCCTCCTTGGGAGCAGGGGACAGACAGACGGCCATCCCTTCACCTCAGTAGATGAGGGAGGTGGGTTTCCAAAGGACCCTCTCACCCATCGCCAAGGCAATTGCTGGCACCTGAGCTGCAGTCCTGAACTTCTTTCCACTCAAGGGCTGTTTTACCCAGGTGCCAGCGGCCGCCAGAGGGAAGCAGGGGAGTGGCAGGTGGGTGGGAGACCGAGAGCCAGGCATCTGGGTGTGGGCCTGCAGCACCCACACTTGAAGAGAGTGCCTGAAGCCAAAGACCAGGGATCTCACCGCCACCTCAGCTCTCCAGTGGTTGTCTCGGGACTTGTGCATTGGCTAATAGCTGTGCGTCTTGGGTAAGTTACTCAGCCTCTCTGTGCTTCCATCTCCCTACCTATAAAAGGAGGACCGTTGCAGTGCCTGCCCCACAGGGTCGTTGTGTGGGTTACAGGAGTTAGTGCCAAGCACAAAATCACCACTATGCGCGCATGGGCTTACAGCGTCTGTTTTTCACACAGCACCGGGGTTGTCCACAGGTGGGGACAATGAAGGTCAGAGAGGGGACATCCCCATGTCACTTGGCCACCGGCCTTCAGTGGCCTCTGACTCAGTTGCTGGAGGCAGCATGGGCTGTCTTGGATCCCAAAGCCACAGTACCAAAGTATACCCTTAACAGTATCTTTTATTGATTTGCAAGAGGAAAAAAACCAGAAATTTGTTTTAGAGTTAATGCCTGCACAGTTTTTCTTTCCTTCGAAATTGTGTGGTCCACACACTGGTTACAAATGTCAGCTGAGGCCCCAGGAGCGAGCGAGCGAGCGAGCGAGGGGCGTGTGCAGCATTGTCCACCCGACTGACCTGTGCCATGCCTGGGGGGGGGTGACGGGGACAGAGAGCTGGGCTCCCTTTACAGCGGGTGGGGCTCGGTTTGGTCACTGAGAGCTGGCTCCATCAGCCCCCCACGTGCCCCGATGTCAGCTCTCCGGGGAGCCAAGGCCCGGAGGCGCACCCCGTCTGGGAGGAGCAGAGAAGCTGGGGGCCTGGAAGCTATGGAAATGATGGATCTTCTTGGAGAGAAGTGATTCCTTATCGTCCCATCGACCCCCGCTCCAAATGAGAAGTGCATTTGCATAGCTGCCCGAGGAAGCTGCGAAGCTCATAAAGTATTTGCTGGGCTCTCGGTTGCATAGGAACGTACTTGGAGTACAGTAACGCGGCTGGGCTGGGCGCCAGGAAAACAACGGATTAATATTGGGAACGAGAAATTACCCACCACTGGGAAACCAATTAGGTCCCTGATCCGAGCTTGTTACATAGATGGAAATAGATGTGTTCTGGGCTTCACTCGGCTGGGGGTGCAAGGCACATTTCCAACTTGCTGGGAAGCTGCTGGAAGACGGAGGAGAGGGGCCTGGGCCGAGAGATCCTCAATGTCTGACTCCAAGGGCACAGACAGGGACGTGAAGGGAGAGAGCAGCAAGAGACGCCCACCTCTAGGCTCCAGGGACACGGCCAAGAGCACAGTGAGGGCCGTCTCTGTCCAGAGTTCAAGTGGAAGGAGCGCAGCCTCTGGGGACTGCGAGTACAGCTGTGGCACTGGCCCTCGGCCTCCCTGCCTTTGGGCCACAGGGCCTGTAGATGGGCCCACTGGCCCTCTGGGGTCCAAAGCCCCCTCCTGCCGGTCCTACCTGGGCCTGGTAGCAGAGAAGAGTGCCCGGATGCCAGGGCGGGCCCAGCTCTAGATGGGCAGGTACCACCCCCTTCCTGCCCTCTGCAGGACCCACCACGCCCTTGGCCAATCCCTCCTCAGCCCTGATAAGAGGACACAGACCCCTGTAGAAGCAGTTCCTCTGAGGGGACCTGTCCTTGGTGGGACCAGGGATGAGTGAGGGGGTTGTAGCAGTTCTGGCTAGACATTTGGGGGTCCAGGGGAAAGCCCCACCCTCTCAGGCAGCTCTGCTAGCCTCCAAAGGAGGCAGGGATGTGTGTGGGGGACAGGGAGTTGCTGGCACCCCAGCCTGGGCACGCCCCTCGAGCGCTGGTGCCGCGGCCTGGTCCCCTGCCCAGCGCAGCCGTGCCCGGGCTGGATGGAGGGCCTCCACAGCCCACCCCCTCTCGGCCCGAGTCAGACCTGGCTCTGGGAACCCAGGGCAGGGCTGAGTGGACGCCAGCCCTGTTTTGCCGGACCTTATGGGAGAGGCACCAGGACAGGTGTCCTGGGGCTCCCTGCAGGGCAGAACAGAGGGCCACCTCACTCCTCCCACCTACAACTCCTGTCTTCCCCAGGGCTGTCCACTCTTCAAGTGGACTCTTCAAGTCCCTTTACCCCAGGAAGCTCCCCTCCACACCACAGCTCTCTTCCGGCCCTGAGGGTCCTGGCTGGCAGACACTGAAGACTGAGGGGGGACGTGGGTGCTGAGGGGGCCAGTGACGGAGCCCCATGCTGGCCGAGAGGACCAGCTCTCCCTCCTTCGCTGGTCAGCACCGCCATCGCCTTGCTGTCTCCTCACTTATGCAGGTTTTAGGGCGTAAGGCTGTCAATGGAGAGCACAGAGGGATGAGCATCACTCAGGCTCAACCCTGGAGGGCTGCCCCACACCCTCAGGATGAAATCTAGACTGTCCAGGTTTCCATCCGAGGCCCTTGAAGGCCTGGCCCCCACCGGCGGCTCCTGGCGGCCTCGGAGCCTGGCGCTCCTGCACACTGGCCCCCCCTCACTGGAGCAGGCTCTCCCACATTGCCCTCCAGGCCTCTGCCCATGCTGTTCCCTCTGCCTGGCCAACTCTGTACATCTTTTAGGATGCAGACTCAAATACCACCGCCTCTGAGAAGCCCTCACCCTGTGGATCCTCTACTGGTTTGGTGTGGCCCAGAACAACCCCTTTGATGGTGTGCTCCTGCCCTTGACGGGCTATCCCTTCTGTGTGGGAAAGGCCTGGCTTCCAGCGAGCTGCGCTGTGCCCTGAGGGGCCTGCTCCTGGCCCCCAGCCAGGCTCCTGGGCCGGAGAGGGGTCCGAGGTCAAGCAGGGCCCAGAGGGTGTGTGGTACTGCTGCCCTTTCTCTACGCGGCCCAAATTCCAGAGAGGGCACCCCAAGCAGCAAATGGAGGCTGACCTGGGTCAACAGCACCCTGCTTCCTTTTCGAGTTGGCAATGATTTGGTTTTCATTCATCATCTGGACGTCCTGGTCTTCCACCTGATTGCTGCAGCGACGGAAAAGGCAGGAGATCTGATCAGGCCCCAGCCCAGGGTCCCTGCCGCCTGTTCTCCGCGGGGTGGGCGGGGGCGGCCTGGGCTGGGCTGGGGCTCACCTGATGGCGGCGCGCTTCTCCCGGTGGCTGATATCCAGGTCCTCGGTGAAGAGAATGGTGTGGTAGGGCACTGTGGGCTCGCAGGTGGGCAGGATGCCCCCGACCAGGTGGCCCACCATGGCCAGGACCCCGTTATACACAAGCAGGTCATCCACCAGGAGCTGAACGGACACAGAGGAGGGGCTCTGCAGCACAGCTGGCGGGCCCTCTCTTACTTCCCGCACGTGACCTTGGGCACGGAGCGTCCCTGCACCAAGCCCCGCCCACTGCGCACCAGCCTTGCGTAGTGGCTTCAGCTCTTGGTGGCTCACGGGAGGAAGGTGCCATCACTGGCCCCGTGTCGTAGACGAGGAGACCGTGGCTCACGGGCTGAAATGCCATTAGCCCGTGAGGCAGAGCTGGGACGCCCCGGGGGCCCACTCTCCCCTCCCGAGAGCCACCCCGCGCATGAACTCCCTAAATCAGAGTTTTTGAGAAGAACAGGTAAAAGAAAAGCCACTTTCTGTTTTTTCAGGGTGATGGTTCGAACCACTGGGAGGAGGCTGTGACTCCCCGGGTGGATGGCCAATGTCCCCGCAGGGGGGGCCGGGCACTTGTGTCTAAGGCTGCAACGGAGGGAAGTCAATCAGACTGCAACCAACGAGCACTGCTGCGGCCTGATTACCATCGAGCGTAATTATCTAAAAAGCCCAGCTAATAAGTACTTACGCCAAACTCCTTCACCCCTCGTTGGGGTGTTTTCGCGTAATTCCACAGTTTGATCATCGACACGGTGGTAGGCAGATCAAAAATTACATAGATGCGGTTTACCTGTCAGAGAGGGGCACTGGCTGAAACAGGGATGCTTGCGAGCGGGGCCTCCCGGCTGGGAGGGGCGCCGGGACCCGCAGGGGTGAGCCCCGCAGGGCGCCTGGGCGGGAGGGGGCGGGGCCCTGCTCACGGGGCCCAGCCCGAGGGGCTCTGGGCCGCGGTACGCAGGGTTCCTACTGCCTTCCGTCTCCTCAAAGCCCATTTTGAGTCAAGTCACGTGTGGCTGCGTTTGCAACAAGCCACTGAGCTGGCTCTTGGAGGGCCTGCTTTCTTGGGCCCAGAGTGGTCCCCCTTTAAATACCCACGGGGACTGGGTATTCCCTGCCCTTCCCCCGGAAACAGTCTGGGGCCACGTGGGCTGTGGAGTCAGGCCTCAGCTCCGGAGTCCAGAAGCACCGCCGCCAGCTATTGGGACAGCTCTGACCCCCACCTGTCCTTTCTGCAAACCGCAAATGACAAGCACAGCAGGCAGGCCCTGAAGGCACTGCTGGGTAATTTTCGGTACTTGTCTCTGAATTTCTGCTGGGGGAGTGAGGCAGATCAGGGACAGAATCAGCTAGTGGAGTGGGACCCGGCAGCCTCCCATCCCCCCTCCCCAACAACATGCTAGGGGCTCCTTGCAAGATGCAATAAAGCAACAGCAGCCAGCCCTGGCCACCAGTTACTGGCGCTCCAGCCCGTTTTGCCCCGGTTCTCAGCCTGTGGCCGTGCTCAGAGGGCCACGGTGAAAGATGGCAGCAGGTGGCACCAGCTTAGGGGCCACAACTCAGTGGCCCCAGGTCCAAGAGCCTATGGATCTGTACACCCCCCCTTTGTGTGCTGGGGCTAAGGGGCTGGCCTCCACTCAAGGGAAGCTGAGGGCTGGGGGGCCAATTTGGGGGGAGGGCCTCTGGAAAACCTCCCTCACAGAACTGCTGATGCTGCCCCTGCCTGTGTTTTGAGAGGAAAATGTGCCCTCTTGTCTTCCTGTTCAATTCCATGTAATGGAACAAGGGACACTTCGATGGACAAGCGGACACTCCAGACACGGCTCCATATCGCTGCCGGGCCCCCAGAGGGCCCTGTGGCTGCGGCCGGCGGGGCTAGACCCGCCTGTCCCGTCTCCTGGCTTCTCTCCTCTCTTCCTACCACCATCAACCAGGTCCGGGCAGGCAAGGCCCACCCCCTTCCAAGGCTCTCTCTCCATCAGGTGTTGGAAGAAAAATGGAAGACTGAATGCAGAGCCCAAGATGGGGGAGACTGGAGACAGGACCAGGCAGATCTGGTGCCAGGGTGCAGGCAGGAGTGGGGTCAAGTGCCCAGCGGCAAAAGGAAGCAGAAAGTGAGTATGGGGAGGATGGAGCTGGCGGGGGGTGGGGAGTGGGCTGCAGAGGGGAGCAGAAGCCAAAAAGAGAAGCCGCTCCCTCGGGGAGCGGTGGGTGTCCAAGCCCACAGGCCTGTTGCACGGGGGCCCCAGCTTCAGAGCCCCCTGTGGCCCTTTATCTCCTAGGGGCTCTTCTAATGACCCACCTTTGCCCACAGCAAAGATAAAGAACTACTGGCCCCAAAAAGCTGACCCCTTAGATGTGCTAGTGAACACCTCAGCTGTCCTGACGGTTCTGTGCATTTTGACTTGTTCCAGATTAACTTGGCCAGGAAGGAATTTGTGTCATTAAGCAGGGGACAGGAAATCTCCCAGTCCACCCCAGGGCTGAGAGCTCTGGAAACCCACCAGGCCGGGCAGGATGGGAGCCAGCCACATGTGCCTGCCGTCACTGGTGTCATTCACTTGGTCGATGAGCTTGTCAGGGGTCCGGACGTCCCCGCACACGCCCTCCAGGGCGTTCACGCTGTCGGGGAAGGCAGCGATGTCTGAGGAGGCACCTAAGCTGTCATAACTCAGCAGTGTGCTTGGCACCGCGCGCCACGCTCTCGGCCGCCGCCACCCTCCATCACACTGACTGGGGGCTCAGGGGACACTGGGGCGGGCAGGCAGAGCAGCCAGCTGCTGCTCTGGGCAGCCTGAGAAGTGACAGTGGAATGAGACGTGTTCTGGGGAAAGTGACAGCATGGACTGAGGCTGAGTAGAGGGTGGGTGGCCAGTTCCAAGGACAGGGGAGGCAGCCACGTCGGGAGATGCTGAAAAAGGCGTTGTGGGGCTCCGAGAGGCAGGGACAAAATATGTTGCTGCTACTCTGGAGGGTGGAGGGCAAACTGTGCAAAGGGTTTCCTTTGCAGTCACGGGACACCCAGGGCCTGGCTCCCTGCCTGTAAAATGGGTACAGAAATCCCCGCGTCCCAGGACTGAGGGGAGAGCTCAGGGGCCCTGGGTGGGAGCTCTCTTGGTGAGACCACAGAGCCTTATACAGCCAAGGAAAGTGATCAAACCACCGAGTCATTTGCTCAAGGTGAGGAGCAAGGTGTCACCGAGGGAAAGCAGGAAATGGGTTCCGGTTGGAACCCAGGGACCCCGAAGAGATGTAAGGCAGGCTTTGGGGTTTGACCTGCTCTGGCAGCTCCCTAACTGGCATATCAGGGTCACAGATCAAGAGTCCAGAGGGGTCACCCTGGCTGTGGTGGCTCAGTGGGTTGAGCACAGGCCTGCAATCCAAAACGTCACCTGTTCGATGCCCAGTCAGGGCACATGCCTGGGTTGTGGGCCAGGTCCCTAGGTTGGGGGCATGCGAGGGGCAGGGGCAACCAATTGATGTTTCTCTCGTATGTTTCTCTCCCCCTTCCCCTCTCTCTAAAAAAAGCAAATACAATCTTTAAAAAATAGAAAATAAAAAGAAGCCAGAGCGGTCAGGCAATTGCGTGGGAGAGAGACCTGGCAGCCCGGAGTCCAGAGCACAGGCTCCGGCGTCTGCCACTCACTGCTGTGTGGCCTTGGGCAAGCAACCCTGCGGCTGTGCCCTGTTCCTCATCTGTAAAGTGGGGATAATGGCAGCGCTCACTTCACAGGACTGTGGTGAGGGCCAGTGGGGCACCACGTGGCAAGCCCCAGGCATGAACAAAGGGCTCCGTGGCCGTGAATTCAGGACACGCCAGGCGAATGCGCGGTGACAGCTTGCCCCTGCAGCCCTGGTGAGAGCCGTTAGAGTCGTCCAGGGCCTGTGGTTCCCCGGGGCTGTGGCCGGTGGCCTCGCCCAGTTCCTCAGGCCACAGGACCCCTGGTTCTGTGCATCTCCCGAGCCCGGGCCTTGTTAGGCGTGGCTGGGGGCTGCCTCGCCCAACCCCAGGCGTCGGCGTCTGACTGTAGACAGAGTCCACTGGCATTTTAATTGCAGGCCTGGTTCCGACAGGGACGTCCCCTCTACATTCAAGACTTCCGCGCCCTCCCCCGCCCTCACGCTCCCTGCAGGCCGGAGGGGTCCCGCTGCCTGGAAAGGATACTGTTTTCCGACAGAGGGATTTTCTCCCCGCGCGCGTCGTACAGCTCCAGGCCGGTGAGACCGATGTAATAGGGGTCGCCCCAGCTGGTCAGGAGCCGAAACTGAAAAATGACTGGCACAGGTTGTTAAGGAAAAACAGGCTTGATTTCCTGAGGGCAAAGTAAAACAATGACGAAGGCAACATAAGGGACGGTTCTGGGGTTTATATAGACAAATGAAAGCAAAACAGTGATTTTCCTCTTCCTTAAGACTGAATCCTATCCAAATATAAGTGCCATCAGATTGTCCTTAATTTAAAATGTGTGTGTGTTTTAAGAATTCAAAACCTTTTTGCAGGTCCCAGGAGACAGGGGAACAGGACAGGACAGTGCCCTCCAGGGAGCTGGAAGGATGGGGACACATTTGTATCACAAACTCGTTACAGGCGCTGAGCAGACGGACCAGGGCCCAACCATCTCAGGCGTCAGTGCCCGACTGGAAACCAGTGCGAACAGAAAGCCTGTGCCCTCCTCCCTCCATTGCAAGCCTGTGGCTGCCATGGGCAGAGGGGCACGGGAGCTCTAACAGCATCGAGGGATGGGCCATGGCAGGGTGACCCACCGCCTCGCCACCAGGCATCAAGCCCTTCCTCAGCACACACCCCCTCGCTCCCGGGATCCCCAGGAGCAGGCGGGTCAGGACAACTGAGAAGTGGCAGGGTGGCTCCCAGGTGACATCATAGCCAGAGGCAGTCCTTCCAAAACAGGCTAGTGAGAAAGCCAGGTAGCCTGCGTTCACTCACCCGGCCCCGCCCCTTCCCACTGTGTGGCCTTGGGCAGGTCACTTAGCCTCCCTTTGCCTCAGTCTTCTCAGCTGTGAAATGGGAATGCTGGCAGTACGCACCATGTGGGGCTAATGCAGCGAGTTTATGCCGGCAGCCCGCAGCAGAGGTCCAGGGAGGACCTCCACTGTTCCTTCTATCCGCAGCTCCTCCCCACCTGGTCCGAAGGACAGCCCCCGCTCCAGTCCCTGGGTCAGTTCCAGCTTCTCCAGCCCCTCCAGGCTGGAGCCCTGCCCAGTAGGGGACAGGATCCGGAACTCCTGAGCTGCCCCTGTCCCAGTGGCATCCAGCGCGCCCTAGGACCCGGGAGCCCTCCCATCCCCTCCTAGGTTTCCCTGCCTGGTGGTCCGGCTGCCCTGGCTGAGACCTGCCTGAAACCCTGGCCAGCAGCGCAGGCCCAGACCCTGCCTCAGGCCCACAAGGTGGCTACAAGGGCCTCGCCCTTTCCCTGGGCCCCAGGGCCAAGGGTGTGCAGAAGGGGTGGGAGAGGATACAGCCACAGGGCATCAGTGGTGCCTCATAGTCCATGCTTGCCCGCTCCAGGCTTTTGGTGTTGAGCCTAAAAAAGAACCACAAAGGAGTGCCAGTAAGCAGAACACAAGTACTGGAATGGCCAGTGGGTTACTCCCCGGCGATAGACTGAAGACCTTGACAATGTGGCACACCCAGCCGGGCAGTGCAGGAAGACAGCTGCAGCTCCTGCTTGCACAGGGCTCCCACTCAGCTGGGGGGCTCAGTCACGGCCAGCTCAGCACAGGGCCTGACTGACATGGGCCCTCCCGTGCCCCCAAACTGCCCTAGTGGGGGTTACTCTTCTGTCCCCAGGTTGTGAATGAAGGAAGTGGGGCAGGAAAGCGGATCACATGGCTCTCAGGAGGCGGAGCTGGGATGTGCTCCAAGGGTCCAGTTCCAGGGCTCTCTTAACCGCCCTGCTCTCCTGCCCCTTCATGGACAAGGAAAGTCCATGTTGCACTGAGAGCTGAGTGGGACACACGGCGGACACAGGGTGTCAGGGGACACGGGCCACAAGGCAGGGTCTGAGCTAGGGAGGCAGCTCCTTGGGGAGAACCAGAGCTAAGCCTTCCAAGCACAGGAGCAACAAGAACAAAGGTCCTTAGGTGGAAGGGGGGGGCGGGGGAGGAGGTGGTCCTTTGCCACAGAAAAGCAACCAGAGGGGCTGCAGTGTGGGGTGGGGTGGGAGGAGGGCGGGAAGTGGAGGCTGGAAGGTGGGGAGCGCCCTGAAGGCTTTGGCTTCCCGATCCTGAGCCAGTGGCTTCACCAGGTGGGGCCTCAGTCCCCACGACTGTAAAAAGGGCGTAATGACCCCTCCTTGAGTGAACAGGAAGCATCTCGCACACAGCAGGCGCTGTGGAAGAAGAGCTCTCTCGCTCAGTGCCCCCTCCGCTGGGCTTCTTTCCCGGGCCTGCCGCAGGGCCCTCCCGCTCTGGCCTGCTTTCCTTCCATTTCAAGGGCAGTGTTATAATTAAGTGGCTGTTCCCAGTGACCAGCCCAAGGAGTGATCCCAGCTACAGTGAAAAGAAACTCATTTTGTTTTGAGAACTTGGCCCCTGGCATTTGGGCGTCAGGGGGTTTAAATGAGTGACCTTAACGTGACATTTACAAATTGTTATGAACTTAATGCAGCTGAGAATGGGGCCGAGAAACCCCAGTGAATCCATGAAATGCTGGGACCTGTTTTTCTCTTCGGATCTCTCTAAATTAGGGACACGGAAACAAGGGAAGGTAGAACATTCCCTGAACCAGCCGGCAGGCATTTCTGGAGTCAGGCAGCCAGGATCCTCTTTTCCCAGCAGGAAGCATTTAAAATCTCAAGCACTCCAGACTGAGAGAATCCCAAACGCCCGGACCAGGTGGGCACATCCCACAGGCTTCCAGAGAGGCTTGGCTGAGCTTTAGAAACAGCCAAGTTGAAAAGCAAAGCCTTTGATCACCATCTCGAAACGCTTCAGGTGGACACTTCAGAGGAGTCCACCTGCTCTGGTCATGGGCTTCAGGTGTGGCTGGAACAGGGCCCGCGCCACGGACAGGAAGGGACGTGCGAGGTGCTGCTCCCTCACCTCTGGGACGGCCGGGGCAGGACTGGAGCTTGTAGGTGGTCCACAAAGAGGATTTCCTGAGCAAAATCGAAGTGGCAGTTGCCCGGCCCCTTCCGGATGAGAAAGCCCTCTGGAGGGGAGACGCACAGGCCGTCCAGGGAGACGTGGACGACTTTGGCCTAGCAAACAAGAGAAGACACACGCCTGAAGGAGGAAGCCAGCGTGCGGGACGGCAGTGCGTGCCGACACGGCTGGTGCTGCTGGCGGCAGGCGTGCAGGACAGAGCGCCGTCACGGAGCCCGAGCTCGGTCTGGCCTTCCTCCCAGACGGGAACCAGCCACCCAGGTCCACTTTCCAGTGCCGTCCCTGCCCTGTGCCAGGCGCTGAGCTGGGTGCGGGGCAGACAGCAGGAGACAAGCAGGTGAGGCCCCTGCCACAGTGGACACATGCGGACATTCTCCAGTCCACTCAGTCACGGGGCCCTGAGGTGGCGCAACATGGCGGTCAAGGACCCAGACGCAGGTACTCTGACATCCATTACTAGTAGCTGTGCAAGTTACTTAACCTTCCCAGGCCTGGCTGTCCTTATCACTGTTAAATGGGCCCAAAAACGAGTTAGCTTATGAAAAGTGTCCAGAACAGACAGCACCTGGCACAACACACGCACCGACTGCCCCTTCCTCAGGCCCTGGCTCGCACGTCGCCACTGGCCCCTGGGCTGCCGTTCCCTCCACGGAGCTCTGAGCCCGCCCATCAGGGACACACGCTTCCTAGCAGTGTCCTCGGCGGCCTGTGGGTCTCCTGTGGTGGTGGAGACCCCGGCTGGACCATCTCTGTATCCGCCTCAGGGCCTGGCCCCTCAGGTGCTTACTGAGAACTTGCTGAATCGATGGCATTGGAGCCAGCAGGTCCCCTGTTCTAGGCCGATTTCACCTGCCAGATGGCCAGGATCCAGCAGTAAATCTCAAAGCCTTAATGATCACGTGTGAGGGGACTCGGCTCTCGGTGAGCGGGGGGCGGGGAGGAAGTGTTGATAAGCCAGCACCCTCTCTCCAAGCACACATTTTGGAATCAAGGCTCCTCGGCACCTTACCCCACCTTCACACTTAGCAATCCGGGCCCAGCTGCTGACCAGACAGGTGGGCTTCACCTCTGGGAGACGCAGGGGCTCCTCCATGTGGAGAGGAAGGGGCCTGGCCTGGGTCTCGTGGGTGACCCCTGTGCTCAGATGCCCTTTGGTCCTTCTGCATCAAGGGAACCCTGCCTCCTGTCGGTCAATTAGTCAGAGGGCACAGAAACCTGAAAAGTGTAGGGTCATGGGCTTCAGGTGTGGCTGGAACCAGGCACTCAGACTGTCACTGTACCTCCACTCCACTTTCCACAAACCTGACTCCTACCCTGAACCCGGGGCTGGACCTGTGGCCCTGGCCTGGCCACACCAAGACCTCTGACCCCCTGGTCACATGATTAGTTCATCGGAATGGAACTTGGCCAGAATGATCCTCATGACTCCTAGGTGTGCCCCGCGGAGAACGCCACCTGAAAATGAAGCCGGCAACCGAGCAAAGCAGAAGCCCAGGAGGCCACTGTCCCTCTCCTGGGGGCGGGGCAGGACGGGGCTGTTTTATCATCACCTCCAGCTAAGGGCTAAGCAAACTAGAGTTCAGAGAGGCTATGTGATTCACCCAAGGACACTGGAGGGATCCGAAGTCCCATCTCTGTGAGTCTGAGGCCGGATCTAACCACAAGCCAAGGATCCCCGACCCCGGTGCCCAGCAGGGCCTTGGGGGTGGCCACCTGATTTGCTGCCTCGGGGGCACAGTTCCCCCCACACTGTGCTTCAGGGTCTGCCCGCTCCTGTTGGGCCACCTCCCTCATCCCACAGCAGCCGGTGGTGAGGGCCAGATGGGGGGGGGGGGGCGGGGGGCAGGCGGGGGCTCTGGGCCCAAAGTGTCTAGGACATGAATCCAGGTCACAGAGAGTCAACTGGAAAGACGGACTCAGTCAAGAGAACGCAGAGACCCAGAGGCATGAGTTGAAGCATAAGGTTTTTAGGGGTTTTTTTTATGCCCACACTTCTGACGTTTTCAGTGTGCTAAGCCTGAGAGCACGCACGCACACGGAGTGGCCTGCAGAGGGCTGCAGCTGCTCCTGAGGGACCGGCCTGGTGGGCTGGGGGCTGCCACCCACTGTGAAAGCCCCCACAGTCCTCGAGGCCCCGCAGGTCTGCAGAAGAACTCTGGGGCGCGCAGTGTGTGGTGGAGAGCCCAGACCCCAAGGCCGACTGATGGCTCTGTAAGCTTTTGTGGGGCAAAGGTGACGGCCACCCTCCAGAGGCAGGTATCTGCCCCTTGTCATTTTAGAGACAGGAAACTGAGGGGCAGAGAAAGCAGGCCACTAGCCAAAGGTCACGTGGCTGGCAAGGATCGGGGCACAGTTTCAGCCGGAGGGCCCCGTGGCTCCAGCGCCCTGACTGCGCTGCTGTGTTTCAGGCGTCCTCATCATCCTCAGCTCTGTGTGGTGGGAGAAGAGCTGTGTTTCATGGGTCCTAGATACCCCGGTCGCAAAAGCCCAGAGAAAGGGGCACTTCTGCTGCTTTTCTCTAGGTTCCAACAGAGGCCACTGCTCCTTCAGACCCAGCAGAAGAAACACAGTGTGGGCGCAGAGCTCCCAGCCCAGCAAGCTCAGTCTGGGGCTCCAGCTCTGATCCTGGGGGGGGGTCATCCTCTGAAAACCTCACCTTCTCATCCTCTGAAAGACGAGGATAACAACATGTGCCTCCCAGAGGCTGGACGACGGTCAGATAACATGACGAGGAGCTCTCAGCCCAGGGCCAGGCCCGAGGCCCCCAAAACCCCCAGCGGAGACAAGGTGCTGCAGGTTCCCCAGGCTGCCGGGCTCTTCAGCCTGCGTCTGCTGTTTGCAGGAGCAGGAAACAGCAGCTCTCTCTCCCCTTGGCTATAAACCCCATCGCCATTTAAAAAATTCTGGAGGATTTATGCTCCCCTCTGGCAGCCACACCAGCCATTCATCAAGGGCCCGTTTCCTTGACAGTGGGCTGAGCGCGGCCACTGTGTCCCCCCTTACCCCTCGATAGGTGTCCTCGGGAGATTTATTGTAGTTCCAGAAGCGCAGGCCTGCGATGCTTTCGGCTCTGTCGAAGCGGATCGTGACCACGTGGTCCAGCCCCGGCGAGAAGGGGATCAGCCACATGTGCTCATCCTCCATGGTGATGTTGGCCCCATCGATCAACCTGCACACAGCGGGGAAGGAGCAGTGAGGGGCGGCCCGGTCCTCGGGAGAGGGCACCGCGCCCACCACGGCCCCCGCCCAGCAGGTGCCTGGCTGCATGGGAGAATGGAGGGAGGTGAGACTCATCACAGCAACAGCGAGGGGCCACCTCTCAGCTGTGAAGTGAGACAAAATCAAACAGGAAGAAAAGTGACAGTCTGTGCTGTCTGGGGTGCAATGGAGCAATCGTCCAAGTTTTTGTTTTGTTTTCAAAGGGGGCAGGTGTGCCATTTTTCAGGACCCTGGAACCCAGTCATCTCATGCCTAGAAACTTTCCCCTGAGGACAATCTAGTCAACCTGTTGGAAAGACCGCCTGCACCAAGATACTCATTATGGTCTTGTTGTTCCTATCAGGAAAAAAGAGGACCCGAGAGGTCTCAAAACAGGGGAAGGTTCGGTCGGTCTGGACGGTGTCCCAGTGCCATCGCGAGGATGCGCAGCGACTGGGAAAGGCAGGCACCCTCATCTCAGCCCTGTATAATGAGGATCAGGACCAGGAGAGATTCTGCAAAAGCAAAAATTATAGTGTGTCTGGGGGTGGGGGCGGACATTTTCTCTGTGTTCCAGACTCCCTGTAGAATGCTGTGCTGACTCCGAGGGCACATTCTGAAAGAACTCTGTCCCTTCGCCGTCGTGCTGGCGGGGAGAGTCCAAAGCACCAGCGTGAACTTGGCAGCTCCTGCAGAGGGACGAGCACAAGGGGGCGCTCTGGGGAGCTGGAGGCCCAGCACCCTCAGGCACTTCTCGGCCGGGGCTCCGAACCTGGTATCTCCTCGCATTGCACATCCATCCCGGCCAGGCTGCTTCTCCTGCTCAGGACACTCTGCACCTCCTCCTCAACTCTGCCCACGCGTGTCCCCCAGACAACTGCCCTCGACTCCCCTGGACTGCCCGGCACACCTCCGCCCAGACCCCAGCCCGCGTGCCATGGCTCCAGCCCATGCGTCCGGCATTGCCACCCACAGGCCTGGGGAAGGGCCTCACTCTGGCCTCTTGGGCAGTGCCCTCCCCTCTCCCTCCCGCTTCCCTGACGACTCAAAGCTGCTGCACTGCCAGCAACTCAGGCTGCTGCCATGTTTCCTGTATTTTAAAATAATTTTATTTTTTCTCTTGCATTTTAAATTTTTAGATTTGGAATAAATCTTACAATCTCACCGCTCATCCAAGGAGGTAGCGTTTCTTTTTATTTTCTCTAAAAGGCTGTTATTAAATTGATGGATGATGTGTCTCACAACTGCTGGCATCTGAAAACTGAGACAACTCGGCAATTTAACACTCGGGTGTTTGTGGAATTAGCTGACTGAGGACTACTCCAGGAGAACCATTATTTCCTTCCAAAAGCAATTACCTCTCTTTCCCAGCACTGTGGCTGCTCCCCAGTCCTGAGAGGAGAGAGAGCTGCTACAGTGTTTACAGCTGGTGGGGGAAGGGAGGTCCCTCCGGACACCCTCAAGAATATCCAAATGGTACTTCTAGCTTGGTCCACGAAAAAGCCTTGAAACGATGATCAAACAAACAGCAACAAGCATCCCTAGTGGCTAGATTATGGTCTCTAAACACCATTTCCCACTAGAAGTGACTGGGACTTCATAAAGAAATGGCCGAGACCATGTCTGGGACAATTTTTAAAAAAGAAATATATAAAAATGAGCCCGGAATATCTTGTCATGTCAGAGAGCAGGGCAGCTGTCAGACACGACTCTGTCAGGATTCCCAGGGTCTAAGAGCATCAATAGGATAAAAAGTGCAATAGACTTAAACCCTTCAAACACAGTACACTCAAGTCCATGACTATGATAGTCAAAAATAACCAAACATTTTAAAGGATGCTAAAGGAACATGTCATTTTGAAAATGGAAAAATAAAGGGAAAAAATCAAGTTTCATTTATGCATTTATATAATAAATGAGTTGGGCTTTTTCCAGGTTATACAGTCCGGCTAACTCCTTTTTATTCATTTATTTATTATTCTCACCTGAGGACATGCTTACTGATTTTAGGAAGTGGGGACAGGAGGAAGAGAAACATCAATGTGAGCGAGAAACACCAAGTGGCTGCCTCTCACACGCCCTCAACTGGGGACCATACCCGCAACCTCGGCCTGCGCCCTGACCGGGAATCAAACCTGCACACTTTCAGTTTACTGGATGATGTTCCAGCCAGATGAGCCGTGCAGCAGCCAGGGCGAGAAACCAAGCACTGAGATGGCCTTTCCTATTTAAATCATATCTCAGAGTAACCAAATAACTGAAGGAAAATTCTCTGTATTGATGAAAAGAATGACAGGATAGTGCATTGCAACCCCTGATAAACCCGTCGATCCAGCCACTGAGCTTCGGTCGCCACCATCACAAAAAGCCCGGCAGCCCCTGAAGGAAATAAATGGCAACACCCCCGATGGTCATGCTTTGCCCGGCAGTCAAACCTCGATCTGGTCAGGCCTCGAGGTCTAAGGAACCATTTGTAAGAAATACAGGGTCCTGAGGAGCAGGTTAAACAATACCATCGAGATGAAACCCGTAAAACCCAGATTCTGCAGGGGAAAAAGGAAAAACTTTCTTGAAAAGATCATATATTAGGAAAAGAAAAAAGACATATCAACCAATCACAATGTATAGACCTTATTCGGGTCCCAACTCAAGAAACAAACTATTAAAATCATTCTCAGAGCCCTGGCTGGTGTAGCTCAGTGGATTGAGCGCGGGCCTGCGAACCAGACAATTGCGGTTCGATTCCCAGTCAGGGCACATTCCTGGGTTGCAGGCCAGTTCCCTGCAGGCCAATTCCCAGCAGGGGACGCATGAAAGGCAACCATACATTGATGTTTCTCTCCCTCTCTCCTTCCCTTCCCCTCTAAAGATAAATAAATAAAATTAAAAAAAAAAAGAAAGTGACAAATAGGTGTAATGTGATATCTTAGATGTGATTCCAGAGCAGGAAAATGACAATAGATAAAAACTAAGGGAATTTGAATAAAGTATGAATTTAAAAAAAAATCATTCTCAGGAAAACAGGAACATGCTGGATATCTAGTAATTCAAGGAATGATTGTTAATTTTTTAGGTATAATAATAGTGCTGAGATTATGTTTTCTTCTTAAAGTCCTTATTGTTTAGAGATACACACTGAAATATTTAGAGAAAAAACGCTGTCAGGCCTGGGATCTGCTGCAATACAATCGGAGCAGAGGGCGGTGAGCGGGTGTGCGGCTGGGCCCACAGGCTCGAGTCGACAAGTGCAGAAGTGAGACCTGCCGAAATGCGGAGCAGAGTGGCCCGGGCGGGCGGGCATGAGGGTCACAGTTAAGGTGTGCCTCACAGGAGCAGGGTGGGTCCAGCCCTGACCCCACATGTGCTCTGGGCCAGGCAGGGTGCACCTGAGAGGTGGCAGTCCCCTCCTCCCACCCTCCAGCCACGGGACCCACTGCCCCGTTCTACTGACAAGGAAACTGCAGCAAGGAGAAGACGGTGGAGCTCAGCGGTGAGGTGCGTGGTGTTGCTCTCCCACGACATGCACTCCAGTCATGACTGCAGCCAGCTAGTCTGTGTGACCTGCAGCCAGTTTTGACCTCTGTCTACCTCAGTTCACATGGGCGCCTATCAATCATATTGTTAAATGGGTGAATGTCTGTACCCTGCTTAGTATAGTCCAACATGTGGCATTTAACAACTGCTCAAATAAATGGCAACTATAATTTCAGGTACTATTCTTTTTGAAGAGGTTAAGAAACTTACTAGCTGTCAAGGGGCAGAGCCAGAACCTGAACTCCCATCCCCCGACTCCCCTAGAGGCTGTTATCCACCGCACAGGCAGGGTGGGCGGGACAGCCGTCCTGAGGGGCGGAGCTGCTCAATACAACGTTTCAGGCTTGTCCTCTCACTAACTGGCCCCAACCTGGGTTTATGAAATCTGACAAATGCAGAGGAGAGTGTGGAGACTTCCTCACCCATCTCCTTCAGTCTCAAGGAGGGGGGAAGCTTTCTGCCCTTGAAAGGTGAGGTCGCTCACATTTAAACTCAGAGCCATCCCTGCAAATGATTACTGAGCAGCCTCTGTGCTCAAGGCCCGAGGCCAAGCATGGTGAGCACATAAAACACAACTCTGTCCGGAAGCAGGAGAACCTGGCTTCGAACCCTGCCTACCACTTTCAGCTGCGAGGTCTTGGCAGGGTCACCTCCCTTTCTGAGCCTTGGCTTCCTTTGGCTGTAAAATGGGGTGCACAGACCTCACGGGGTGGTCAGGAGAAGGGGGGACAGGGCTTGCTATGCGATGTTTGAATCTGAAGTCTAAGATGCAGAACAGTTCCCCGAGTTCCTGCCGTCATGACAGTTAAGCTTCTACAGACACCTACTTGTCCAGGGTCCGGGAGTCCTCGGTGTACTCGGGGAGGTCATTTAAGTCTCTGGGGCAGGCAGAGATCTGGTGCAGGCTGACGGGCAGTGCCTGGCCGTCCTTGCCCACCACTTCCAGGCCTGTGAGTCCCAGGTAGTGCGGGTCCCCCCAGGAGGCAGTGAAATTCAGCTGAAGGCCTGCAACAGGGAGAGAAGTGGCCCATGAACACCTGAGGTCCACGGGAGGTACCTGAGATGGAGACAAGAGGAGGAGTGATCTTTAACGTCTGCACTCGGCCAGCTTGAAGACCTAGACACAAATGAATGCCTTCAGGCTGGGCTCTCTGCCTTCCCTCCCTTGGCCCCCGGGCCTGGGGCACGGCTGATGTTTGGGCAACATTAGTGGGATGGATGTACCAGTGTCGTCTGAACTTGCTCACACCCCTGGGTCCTGTCTCTACCTATGGATCATGTCACCCCCTTGACATTTAACACCCAAAAGTGGGTCCCCACGGTGCTTGGCCAACAGGCTTTGCCCATCTGGCTTTCATTTTTCTAACCTATACTTGGACCAGGGGTTCCTGGCTGCACTAAGACCGTCATTCAGTCTCTCGTTTACATTCCTCCCTGCTGACACACGGCCTGCTTACCTGGTGCTCATCCTTCAGAGCCCGGCTCACTTCCTCAGGGAAGCCCTCCCACCTGCTTTGACTGCATCAAACCTCCATTCACAGTTTGCTGTCTCACTGAACTTGCCCTCCCACACCCTGGTCGCCACTGTTATCTTGTGATCATTTGCTTAAAAGTGCCAGATGGTTAACCCCCCAAAGCCCACCACAGTGCCTAGCACATAGTAGGAGCTCAGCATTGACAGGATGATTAAACAAATAACTAAATGGAGGCAGCCATATCATTAAGCCACAACACTAGAAAGGGATATTTTATGCAAATTGGTTCCTATCATGAGGAATCTGATGGATTTGTGGTAAAGGAAGTGACTAAGGTTACACCTCCACCCTTTTGCCCTTGCCCCCCACCCCGCTCCACTGAAGACCACTAAGAAGTGATCTTCTCTGAGTCAGGGGCAAAATGGCTCCACTTGCCCAGAACACTCAAACCAAATGAACCAACCCCCTTGGTCAGGCCCTGTCAAATATATGGCTAGAACTTTTCTTAACTAATGGTCTCCTATCAGAGTGAGACCAAGCCCAATGAGCTCTTCCACCCTTGGGGAACTTGGAGCCCATCTCAGCTCCCTTTTGAGTGGCTGTGTTCAAAAGATTCATGCTTTTTGCACCTTCCCCAGAGTGCCAGCACTGTAGCACGGGAAGAAAAAAAGCCCAGCTAGCACGTGGTCCCACCCATCTCAGCTCAGCTGAGGTGGCAGAGGCCCAGTGGGGTCTCCAGACAAGTGAGGCCATGCCCCCACAGCCCTCCCGAAGCCCAGCTTCCTCTCCTATGCCCCCGTCACCCCAACAGACACTGTGCAGCTCAGCCTCGGGTCCTCCTACTTGCCATGGGCCGGGGTAACTCTGAGCATCTCGGGGTCAAATGAAGAAAGATGGGGTCATCATGTACCAGGCACATGATGGCTTCTCACCACACTGGTAGCAAGCAAAATGGCCAAAAATTCTTCCAACCCAGTCCCTGTCTCTTTGCAATGTGACTTTGCCACTGTCCCATGCAGAAGTGAAGTCTATTTCTCCCTTCCTTGAACCTGGACCATGTGATTTGCTTTGGTCATGGGACAGAAGCAAAGATACTGCAAACAGAGGCTACAGGTGCATATGCACTGGGACTTACCTTCTCTCTTCACGCTTGCAGCCCTGCCACCTGAAGGAGACAGGTGAGCCCTGTGCCCCCACCACTCTGGCCAACAGCCTCCCAACTACCAGACACAAAGGCATCCTACATCATTCAGCTGCCAGCTTACCTGCCAGCTGACCAGACCATAAGCAGGCCCAACAGATGCCAGCAACCCAGCTCAGATGAGAACTGCCCAGCCAAACCACTGAATTATGAGCCAATCATGAATGGTGGCTATGTTAAGCCTCTAAAGTGTGGGTTGGCTTGTTCAGTAAAAGCTAATTGATACACTGCTCGTCATGGGTCTGCTCAATGTCATCTCCAGGAGACTTCTAGTCAATATGGCAGCACAGGCAAACACTGCTCACCTCCTTGCACAACCACATCAAAATTACAACTAAACTATAGAATAACCATCACCCAGAACTATCAGAAATCGAGTTGAATGGAAGTCTGACAACTGCAGAATTAAAGAAACCACATCGGTCTAGACTGGTAGGAGGGGTGGAGATGTAGAACAGGCTGGTGGATAAAAATTCAGGAGGGATATCTCAGGAGCGAGGAGTCTCAGCCCCAAACCAAGACCTCCAGCTCAGGGTTCCTGTGCCAACAGGATAAATCCCCATACTCCTGGCTGCAAAAACCAATGGGGACTTAGTTGGCAGAAGAAACTTCTGGAGCCCTAAGCAGTTCCTCCTAAAGAACCCGCACACGAACTTAGACTCACTCCCTCTGAGCTCGAGCACTGGGGTAGCAGCTTGAAAGGCACCAGTGGCATAAGGGGGGAACTGAAGTGTCTGGTATCAATGTGAGAGCAGAGGGACAGCTTTCTTTCAGAAAAAAGGAGGGCAGAGGCCATTGTCCCCTTTCTGAACCTCCCCCAAAAGAGCCACATAGCTGGCAGGTGGGTGCCGTATCTGAGGCTCCATCGACCTGGCTAACACTGTTTGAGTTGTCCTGGAGATCTCCTGAGACTCCGTCCCACCCAACTTATTGGCTCACCCACACTGGTAACGGTGACTTTCCCATACGCATGGCTGGTCTTGGCTCATGTTTCACAACTTCCTAAATCCTCTCAAACAAGGAACAGCTGGCATCAGTGAGCCCCTAGCCCCTGCACCTCTTGCTAAGTGGCTGCATTCCCAGCATTAGGAGTCACCAGCCTAGATTTGCAGCTTGGCTTCATCTGGGAACCTCCAAGACCAGCACAAGTACCACTCACCTCAGACTGCTTTATAGATAAGGCAGGGTGGCCCTGCACAGAACACAGGTGGGGCCCGACCTGGGGCGGCACCACCCAGGAAACCCCAGGGCCAGTGCACCCAGTGGACAGCTACAGGTCACATCAGAGCACCACCACCCTGCCCCCCACACAGCTGATCCTCCATGGAGGGTAGAGGTTGGTAGCCAGTGGTCACAGCCAGTCCCTGCAGCTGACTAGTCTTAGTAAATCCCTCCCATTGATCTGCAAATGGCAACCACAGCTCAACTACAAGAGGAGGGTGTACTCAGACCACACGAATGGCACACCTCAAGTACTTAGCTTGGGTGATAGGGGAGGCTGTGCCACTGGACCCTACAGGACACCTACTACATTAGGCTGCACTACCAAGACTCAGAGTCAAAGCAGCTCTACCTAATACATAGAAACAAACACAGGGAGGCTGCCAAAATGAGGAGACAAAGAAACATGGCCCAAATGAAAGAACAGATCAAAACTCCAGAAAAAGAGCTAAATGAAATGGAGATAAACAAATCTATCAGATGCAGAGTTGAAAACACTGGTTATAAGGATGCTCAAGGAACTTAGTGAAGACCTCAGCAGCATAAAAAAGATCCAGTCAGAAATGAAGGATACACTAATTGAAATAAAGAACAATTTACAGGGAAAAAAGAGTAAAGTGAATAAAGCCGAGAATCAAATCAATGATTTGGAACATAAGGAAGCAAATTACAACTAATCAGAACAAGAATAAAAAAGAATAAAAAAAACGAAGATAGTATAAACAGCCTATAGGACAATTTCAAGCATTCCAACATTTGCATCATAAGGTGCCAGAAGGAGAAGAGAGAGAGCAAGAAATTAAAAATCTATTTGAAAAAATAATGTAAGAAAACTTCCTCATTTTGGTGAAGGAAATAGTCCAGGAAACACAGAGAGTCCCAAGCAAGATGGATGCAAACAGGCCCACTCCAAGACACATCATAATTAAAATGCCAAAGGTGAAAGATAAGAAGAGAATCTTAAAAGCAGCAAGAGAAAAGCAGTTAGTTACTTACAGGGGAGTTCCTATGAGACTGTCAGCTAATTTCTCAAAACAAACTCTGCAGGCTAGAAGGATTTGGCAAGAAATATTCAAAGTCATGAAAAGCAGAGACCTACAGCCAAGACTGCTGTATTTGGCAAAGCTGTCATTTAGAATTGAAGGGCAGATGAGAGGTCCCCAGACAAGAGAAAACCGAAGAGTTCATCATCACTGAACCATATTTATACAAAATGTTAAAGGTACTTATTTAACAAAAAGATCAAAACTATGAACAATAAAATGGCGAACATGTATCTATGAACAACTGAATCTAAATAACAAACTAAGCAAACAAGAAGAACAGAGACACAGTCATGGATACAGAGAGTGTTCTGATGGTTGCCAGAGGAGAGGGGTGTGTGGGGGAATGGGTGATGGGTGAAGAGGTGAGGGATTAAGAAGTACAAATAGGTAGTGACAGAGTAGCCATGGGGGTGTATACAGTACAGCACAGGAAATGGAGAAGCCAAAGGACTTATACGAATGGCCCATGGACGTGAATAATGGTGTGGGGATGGCACGAGGGAGTGGGGGTCCTGGGCGGAGGGGAGCAAAGGAGGAAAAATTGGGACAACTCTAATAGCATAATCAATAAAATATAATTACACAAATGATCAAATGCCGTCTCCTCCGAGAGGCCTTCCTACCCCCCTGAGCTCAAACAGCACCACGCCCCACGCCCTCTAAACCCTGCTTTATTTTTTTGTCATTGTACTTATCACCACCTGAGAGTATATCCTATATTTACTTGTTTATTTGTTTCTATCAGTCTTCCCTGCTAGGATGGAAGCTCCCTGACGGCAGGAAGTCTGTTGACTTTGTTCACTATCGTATCCCCAGAGCCTAGAAAAGCATCTGAAAAATAGACAGTCGAGAAAGATTTTTCTTTTGAAACACACAGCAAAGTCTCCCTGGGAGGTTCTATTGCAGCGCAGACACACAGTGAACACCTAACAAACAAGTAAATGTGGCCGTTCCCCAAAGTGATGGAGACCGTAAAAAAAATAGACGGGCTAGGAAGTGACTGGGGGGGCGGGCGGGGAGGCTGGTCTGAGGGGCGACGGTGGCGCTGAGAGCTGGGTGAGCAGAGGGCAGACGGCGTTCTACAGTGTTTCCGGGAGGCGCTCTCAGCTGAGAGGACCGGACAGCAAGGGCACAGGCCCTGGGACGGGAACAAATTTGGCCTGTGGTTAGAACCAAGGTCTGAGGAAGAGGGCGGTGGAACAAAATGATATCAGAAGGTGAGGCCTGGGCTAGAACGCATGGTGAAGTTGGGATTTTCTCCTCTGCAGCGGGGAGCGACGGGAGGGCTAGCTTTGAAGCAAGGGTGTGACGTGCTTCAACTGCACCTCAGAAAGTGCACGCAGGCAGTGGACTCTCTGGGGACACCAGTGGGGAGGCTGCTGGAAGACCGATGGCCTGGACACGGGTGATGACAACAGGAACGAGGGGACCAATTCGGGGTCTGTTTTGGAGGCAGCACTGCCTGGTCTCAATGGCATGTGCGGAGTGAGGGAAAGAGATGTTTTGGACCCAAGTTACAGAGCGGCTGTGGGCATCGTTCCTGAGATGGAGAAGGCCTGGGGGTGGAGGAGGGAGCGGACTGTGTGGGGGCATCAGTGTCGGGGAGAAACGCCAGCTGCCCTTGGGGAAACAAGACGCGTACCCCAGCTCCCCCAGGCCTGCAGTCCCCTCACTTGCCTGGCAAGATGCCCTGCGAGGCCATCTAATCCAGGCTGCTCCAAAAGTGACTGCTCTCCTGTATGAGTTAATGTCTGTGTTCCATATTCACTTCCTCCAGTGTATCAATCAGTATTTACATACATGAAAATCAATTTTGTTATTTCTCACCCATGTTTCCATCCTCCTCAGCTCCATTCCTACTCGTCACTGCTGATATCTGCAAAGCGTCCAAAATGAGCGTCGTCTGCAGATTAGCAAGTCACACACCCCCTTTCAAAACACGGACGGGCTGGGCCGCATCTCCCAAGACCCACAAAGCATCAGACAAAGCCCAAGGAAAAAGCCAAAGAATCAGAGAAGACAGATTCAGAAATCACAGGCTTCAGACATGCAGAGGGGGCTTAGCCAAGAGGTTCTTCCGCCTCCCACTGAGTAAAGAGCAGTGAAATTACACTTTTCTTGCAGCAAAAGAGTCTCTGAGCTCTACTCCCAGGCAGATCTCCCAGAGGCATTGAAATCACATTTCTGAGAAAGGTCAGGAGCTGGCTCAGTGGGAAGGACATTTACACATGGCATCTTTAGGGAAATCATCAGATGAAGGGGACAGTGGCCGCTTCTGTCCAGCCAGATGGCCCTCCTTCCTTCTCCTCCTTACAGCCCCCTGACCTCCTCTAGAGCGCTGTTTGGTGGCTGACCCCACCACTGGCTGCAGGGACAGGCCCCTGAGGCAGGCCCGGCCAGCGCGCGTTTTCCATCTCACACCTCCCTCTCCCACCCAGTCCTGGTCAGCCACCGTGATTGGTCTAAGGACGCTCGGGCAGGCAATCCCAGCCAGGCCGAAGAGCCGTAATTCTGGAATGATTATTGAATTTAGGAGGAAACAGAAGTTCTCTTTTCGTCGTGATTGCCGGGTAGAAGGTGAGCATGCACGCAGAGTGTGCAGGAGCTCCCATGTGGACAGAGTCGAACAGGGTCTAAGTGAGAAGGGCGGGAGAGCGCGACTCAGGGCGGGGCGGTGAAGGGAGTGGCCACGCCGGGAGGACGCCACCTGCCCACCTGGGGTCAGCAGTATGGGAACTAGAAACCCAGGACCTCTGTAGTCGAGAAGCCAGTAAATTCCCATTTTTGTTTAACTCGGTTTGAATTCAATTTCCATTGTGTATCAAGAAGGGGGAGGAGGAGGAGGTGGAGGAAGAAGAAGGATCCTGACCACTTAGGGGAGGAGCCGTGAACCCACAGCTCTGCGGGGACGCCGATCCCTCACAGAGGCCACAGCTGTGAGGCGGCGTGTTCAGTGGTGAGGACAAGGACTTCGAGTTTAGGTGCTCGGTTGCGTTCTTGGCCTTAGCACCAGCTGTGTGACCATCAGAGGCTGACTCAATCTCTCTGAGCCTCAGTTTCCTAATCTAATCTTGAAAATGGGGAGAATAAGAGCTGCCAGTGCTCCGTGAGCTAGGGCGGGGGAAGCCCCAGCACAGTGGCTGGAAAGGCGGTGGAGCCAAGCCTGAGACCAGGCACTGCCTACATGAGCTTGGTTGTTTAAACTACTCTGTCGTCCTAACGTAACTGGAGAGAGAGTGTCCTGGAATGTAGGGGCTGCTCGAACTCCAAGTGAGTACCTACCTCTTTTCTAAGAGGTAACTTGGCCTTTGTGGCTGAGGGAGGAGGGCGGGGGACAGGACTGCTCACTGGACACACTGCGGGAGACCTCCAGCGGGGGTGGGCTGCAGCAGGGTCCTGAGAGGGGGTGTGGGGACGTGGTGGGACACTGCATGGTTCCACCTCCCAGCCCCGGGACGGAGGCACTCGTGCCTCTAGTGGCTGGGAGTGCTGACTGCTGACAGCTTACAGCTGAGTCCACGCCCCCGCCCCCCAACTTATCAGTGCACTTGGCCTTGCCCCTCCCCAGGGTGGTCCATATCCAGTGACACACTGTTACAGGCCTATAAAAGCCTTGTCCCCCGCTCAACTCGGCACAACTCCAAGGGGCTGCAGAGCTCCAGAGCTCCCGGATGTGAGTGCGCTGTGGCCCCTTTTCCTCTGCACAGTCCCGCTTCCTGTCCTCCCCAGAACCGGCCTCAGTAAACTCCGACTCGGAGTCCACTTCCTAGGAGCCCGATCGGCTGTCATCATCCTTCAGGACGGGACAGAGAGGAAGGGCAGAGCGTGCAGGGGGGCTCAGGAGATGTGTGTGGGGAGGAGGACAGGTCGAACCAAGATGGTCCGACTTCCTTCTGGAGATGACGGTGAGGAGGGGGCGGGGGGGGCACCGCACTGGCACAGCACACCTCCCGGTGTCAGGAGACAACTGGGAGGAATGGCATGTACAGGGGCAGGAGAGAGCAGGGGGCAAGGCTACAGGGAGCAAGTGAGCCAGAGACCCGTGTTAACAGAGACCAGGAGGGAGAGCACGGTCAGCCGCCACCTCTGCAGCCGCCACCTCTGGCCTGGAGATCCCCGGGGCGTAGGCAGAGGGGGCCTGTGCGCAGCAGCCAGACAGGAGGGGCAGCCACGCCACGTGGGAAAAGGCGGGAGAAGGACAGACACGGTGAATGCAGGCGGCAGCCAGCTGGCTGAGTGCACAAAGTGTTTTGTTTAGCTCATGAGGTGTTTAAAAATATTATAAAATTAGTCACCAATATTTAAAAAGCTGAAGGTTTCACACAAAAATCCAAATTTCCTACTTCTCAGAAGACCTGGCGCCCGCCCCGCCTGGGCAGGGAGAACGCAGGTTTCCAGGTCCGTGTGCTGGTTTCAGCGCCCACCCGCCCTCCGCCGCGTCTCTCCGCCGTGGACAGCCCGTCCAACTGTCCAAGGAGACCCTGTCCCGAGGACTTCCCCTGACCCCTGGCGGACCTCCTCCCACCTGACACCACCCCAGGACAGGGTACTCACAGATCCCGTGGTAGACGCCAGGTTCTGGAGTGGTGACTTCTGGGACAGGGGTACTGGGTGGCATCTCCGGTTCTGGGACCTGCACGCCGGTTCCGGGAGAAGCAGAGGAAAGGGGGTGACGTGAGTGGCGCCCACAAAGCTGGCCAGACACATTTCCGGCCACGTTCCCAGCCACTGCTGTCCGCCCCACGTCCCAGGTGGGGCCCTGCGTCCTTTCTCGTGTTTTCTGTCTTTTGGAAGCTCTGCGACTGGTAATAGGAACAGGCCCAGAACCCCCCGAGTGTCTGAGTCCTTACTGGTTGAGGAGGAGTGTGACACTGCCAGCTCAGGTGGGACTTTCTGGGACAGGGAAGGATGCCGTAAACGTCTGTCTAGTCAGCTAGAGGGAGGGAGCGAGGAAGGAAGGAAAATGGGACGGAAGGAAGGAGGAGGAGGAACTTGAGCTACAGAGGGCGGCTCTCAACCCCGGGGCCCAGGTGCGTGCTTTTTTAAAGCTCCCAGGTTTTCCCCACATGCGGCGGGATAAAGAGCCGGTGGTCTGCAGACACAGCCCCAAGGGGCCACCCCCCTACTTCCTGGGTCTCAGGTGTAAACTCTGCTGTTAGATTTCTGCACTGTGAGCTGGAGCGAAAGTGCTGTCACTGCTTTACAGACGGGAAGGCTCAGGGGCAAAAGGAAGTCAAGTCGGGGTCTCAGAGTCTAGTGAGGGCGGTTTCAGTCCAATGACAGCCTGTGCAAGTCCATGGCTGAGCCCCGGGAACGACCTCTCTGGGCCCTGTCCAGCTTTGGGGTGGAGGGTGAGGAGGGTGGCCTGCCACAAGCGCCCCTGACGCGGGGCAGCCTGACGCCACCAGGAAAGGTCGCTGCCTTGGTGCCCGTGTGGCTTCCCTTGCCCTCCCTGGGCCTCCGGCCCCCGAGGACGTGAACACCCCAGAAGGGTGGGCCGCCGCAGCCTGACGCCGACACTGCTGCCCCCACGGGCTCAGGTTCCCCTCCAAGGTGAGAGCGCCCCTCCCTGCCTCTCCCAGGGTTGGATCTTATCAGAGTCCCCGAGGGGCGACGTCACCATTCAGAACCCGGGCGGATGAAAGGCCTCATGGTCAGCTTCCAGCTGGAGACGCACAGATCAAATCCAGACAACAGACATGTTCGGTGGCCCACGGAAGGTTTGAAAACATTTTGAATTAATTGCTAACGAGTTTTAGTTGGGATATTTCTGCATAAAAATCCAGCTATCTGGCTTCATTTGAAAAAACCAGAAAAACTGTCAACATGAGCCAGCAGCTCTTGTCTGGGTGGAGTGGCAGCTGCTTTCTTGAGAAGTGGGGGGGCGTCACCCCAGTGAACACCAAGCACCAACAGGCCGTTTCGCTGCATTGCCTTGGTCATGACCTTCCCGAGGCTTGAACCTTCTGTCCTCTGGCTTCTAGCCATCCCCCTGCCTCGGGGGGGGGGGGGGGGGGCAGCAGTGTCAACATCAGGCTCACAGCCCTAGAGAGGGGCAGGCGGCAGCCCACCCTTTCTCCTCAGGGGCTCAAGAACATCCCGGAGACCTGGGGCCTCTTCGCCTTCACTGTTGCTCTCCAACTTGGACTGACTCTTGGCCTGAAGATCCCGTTTCATTAAGAAACTCTGCTCACCAGTTAGAAGCACAGACTCTGCAGTCCTGCATTCAAACCCGGGCCTTCTACTCCCCCGCTGCGTGCCCTCGGGCGAGTCACTTAGCCTGCCTGGAGCTCGGTTCCCTGAATGGGGGCGGGGGTGCTAACCGTCTCCTCTCTAGAGGTTGTGGGGGGCTGCACAGGGCAGGTCACAGTTCACAAGGAAGAAATGATGGCTGGGACTGTCGTTATTTTGATTCCAATTCTACCTATTAAAGCCATGTCCCGTCCTCCCACCAAAACGCAGCCCAAAGCAAAAATTTCCTGAAGACTGCCACCTCTAAATTATAGAGATAGCAGAGAATGGATTTCTCCTAGCTTTGATTAAAATTTGAACACTTTTTCCACTTTGGTGAAAAAATAAATAAATAAGATGAAAGTCACTAGAGACTGAAATATGGCCCACAGGCCGACACTGCAGCGGGTATCGCAACAGCTGCCCCGCAGCACAGAGGACATCCACCTTCATTCTCCCTGCTCCGCTCTACGTTTGGAGCAATCTCTGGAGGCCCACACCGCGGCCGCCCCTCACCTCCCCCCGCAGCCCCGGACTCACCCGGCCCGCGGCCCCCAGGCCGGCCTGGGTGTGGGGCCTCTCCCCGCCCTCGCCGTCGGCGGTGCTGGGCCGCCGCAGGGCCTCCTCGCACTGCAGGCCGCAGGGGCTCTCCACGTCCACGTCGAACGTCTCGTCCGAACAGGACACGGCCTCCAGGATGTCGTCATCAGTCGTGAACAGTATCGTGTCTCCGAAGTGCTCTGGGGCTGGGCGGGTTACCAAGAACACAAGGGTCAGCCCACTCCAAAGGCCAATTATTTGTAGATCAACCTTTGTGCTATAAACCCACTACCATTTCTCCTTTTGTGCAGAGAGACGTGTTATGCTTCACATTTTGGCAAATGCGGTTCCTGTGCCGTAAGAAGCACAGAGGTCTAAGGAAGGGACCTGGTCCGATGACAGTCACCGTGATGGGTGTGAAGCAAAGCCTGGGTGGGCACGCAGGCAGCTGTCTCGTCTGAAAGGACCGGGGAGTTACGCCCCCCTATACGGGAAGCTGTGGGGTTCCACATCTCTGCCACTTTGCCTTAGGGCAGGGCAGATCCTGCAAGCTGTGCTGCAGAGCTCCCTGGGTCGGCCGAGGCCGGCCTCCCCTGAAAATACACCCTTGCTCAGCCTGTCCCCTCCCACGTCCTGCCCCCTGCACCGTGGGTTCTCCTGAGAGCACTCGCTCCCTCAGTCAAGACCTTGCAGAAGAACCTCCCTGGTCGGGTCCCCAGCTGAGCAGCTGAAATGAGGGCAGCTCGTGCACACCCACGCTGCAAAGGTAAGGAGTGGGCCAGGGCTATTGAAGAAGAGAGACCTGTCACTGGCCAGTGGTTTAGTTTTCCTCAGAGCCTCAGCGACCAGCAGGTAGAGGCTTGGAGAACCTTCTCAGAGACATACTGTACCTCCTGACAGGGTTCCAGGGGCCTTGGCAATCTCTCCTTTAAAGATGCACTGTGTATCTAAGAGGATCTCGATGTCCTTCACGCCGCGGAAGGAATGTATCCTCGATTTGTTGTAATTCCAAATCCTGATGAGGGCCACGTGGCACGGGTGCGCAAAGTCGACGGTGATGAAGTGGGACTTGCCCGGCGTGAAGGGGGCCAGCCAGACGTGCATGTCGTCCTGGGTCCTGTTCACCCCGTCGGTGAGGTTGCTGACCACCCGGGGGTCCTTCCCATAAGCTGGTAAAATATTGATGTCAGGGGGGTCTGCTTGGATGCTCGCGATCTGCACGGGCTCGCCCTTGGAACTGAACATTTCTATTCCGTTCAGGCCGACGTAGTGCCTGTCCCCCCAGGTAGACTTGATGTCAATGACCAGGTGCTGGCCGTAGGGCAGGACAGGGATTCTGAAGTCGCTCTCTCCCTCTGTGTCTGCGGGGCGGCCGTCCTGCCCCGGCCTGGGCCCCGGCTCCTCCTCCTCCTCGAGGGGCGGCGGCCGGCTGCCCTGACGGCTGCTCTTCTGCTGCTGCAGGAACTCGTCCAGGACGTCCCCTGGGAACTCGGTGCTGGAGATTCTTCCCCGGTGGGAGCGGTCAAAGGCGCTGAGGGAGTTCCAGGACTCGTGCAGCGTGTGTTCCTGCTCACTGCGCCACAGGGACCGTGGCGGCGTCCCAGTGGGCCAGGCGTCTTCTGGAAAAAAGGGCGCAGGAGAGGTGAAGCCCCGTTAGTGATACGTGTGGAAGTGGGGACCCCGAGAGTGTCTCATCCAGTGGCTGTCAGCTTGGGAGAGTCACCCTCAGGAGGACATTCTAGAAACTAACGAAGGTGCTGCTGGCTGCCTCAACGCCCACCAACCCTCCCGGCACGTGGCCGGTGGGGCCAGGGATGTAAGGCCCTGCCGTGCATGGCCTCCTGTCTCACACAGGTTAAAAAGCGGGCAAGAAATTGTTGGTAGAGACCCAGGTCCGAAACCTAGTTGTTTTGCAAAGAGAAAGGTATTTTTCAGTGTACACTGACCACTCTGAGTGTGCAGCCTTACGCAAATCAGGGGGGCCCGTCTGGCTGCGTTAGAGCCTCTGCCAGAAGCCGTCCTCCGCGTCAGACACGCACGCCCAGCACGGCTGCTGCCTGCGGCCTCCAAGTCAGCAGCCCGGGCCACTCCGCACACTGCCACAGCCACGAGACTTGAACCGAGGTTTCAAAGCCTGCCGGGCGACCGGCAAAAGGCTCAGAAAAGAAGGTACACTGTAAAAAAGCCGGCCGTGCCACTTCAGGTGCGGCCCGTCCTAGTGCAGCACAGACCAGCGTGTTGGTTTGATCTTTCTAAGTGGTAATTAGGAAGGGCTTTTATTTTCTTCTTTGTCACCTCATCCTCTAAATTCCCTACAAGTATTAATTTTATAATCAGAAAAATGCTTTAAAAAAGCAAACAACCCAGATGAGTCACCAGGTAAGGAATTTACTTCTACACACGCACAGCCAATGGGCTCCCCGAGCTGCCGCCGTGCCCCTAGCAGTGGGGAGCAGGGCCTGGTCCCCAGAGGGGTGGCTCCTGCAGGCCCCGCCCTCCTCCTCACAGAACACAGACGCTTCACGTGCGCATCAAGCGGTGGCCTGTCCTCACGGCCACACCACGGCCACCTGCCATCCCAGGGTGCCCTTCGGGAAAGCAGCAGCCGATGACACTGACGTTTGGGTTTTTCTCCTTTCCTATCGCACCGGGCTCTGCACTCCATTTTCTGCCTGTCTCCCAGGGAGCCTGGCTCCATCAATTATCTCTTCTCTCCAGCATCTTCAATCACTCCTTCCCCACTGGCACCTTCCCCTCTGCCTACAGACGCGCATAAATCTCCCCTACCTGAGAGGAGGAGGAAGCTGGCCGGGTCTTGCGGCCCTCCCCTCTCACTGCAGTGACTGCGTCCTCCTCACCGCCACCGTCCCTCAACCCACACCCACGTCCTCTGTGTCCAGTTACTGTTCTGCCCACTCCAACCCCCCTTCCCCTTCTCAGAGCAACAGCCAATTTTCTATTCAGAAAGTGGCCTATTCAGGCCATTCAGATTAGGCAAATGTTGACAGCATCCTTCCAAGCTGGGTTTGGAAGGAACCAAGGGAGTGAGGGGCTCTCTCTACACTGGGGCTGCTGAGCTGGTGGGATGTCGGAGGGGCTGCCTGTGGTCACATTGCTGCTCCATGGGGGGAGCCTGGCCAAGACGGAAGCCCACCTGGAGAACAGGAGGCGAGAGATGGAGGGGCTCCTGATGACATCATCTGTGTCAGATGTCACATGCCAAGTGGCTTTCTGTCCCTTCATCCATGAATCCTCTGATTCCCATAGCCCTCCACTGAAATGGCTTTCCCCAAGTTCACAGACTCCACGTGCACAGTCTTTACTCAGTTCTCAATCTGTGCTTGACACCCTAGGCCAAGTTCCTCCTCCAGCTCAGGGGAATTGCACTCTCCTGGCTCTCTGCTTCCTTGCAACAACAGCTCCTCCCTCGGTATCATGCGGTCTCCCCTCCCCCCACACCCTAAGTCCGGTTCCATGCCAAGGCCGCAGCTCTGTCCCCCTCCCCCGACACCGCCACCCCAAATGCCCTCACCACCCAGCTCCTGGTTCCCACACAGGCTCTGCTCAGTGTTATAACTCAAGTCCTGCCTGCTCTCCCCTGGGCACCACCTTCCAGTCCCAACAACCCCCTGGGGGTCCAGACAGGTCCACTGCAAACGCCATGCGCCTAAAATGGGGTTGTCACTCTCCCCTCTAAGTGGCATTATCTTTACTACACTGAGAACAAGGAAAACCAAAGAAAATCTCACACCTCACCATGACCCCAGGGCCTGAGTCGGCCCTACTAATTTATCTAAACTCATTCCACACCTTCCTCCCCACGATCGCCCTGCTGCAACCACGCTGGCCTTTCTGTTCTGTGGACACACCGGGTCTCCTTGTCTTGGAGCGTTTGTCCTTGCTGTGCCCTCTGCCAGGAATGTTCTTCCCTTAGCTCTCCAGGGCGCTGGCTCTTCCTGTCACCGTCCTCCACGGAGAGGCCGGCTCTGCCCCGTTCCCTGCTGCGTCCCGGCATCTGACACAGAACACGGCCCAAGGAAGTGCTCAGTGTTGCCAGTAAAGGGAGGGACAGCTGGCAGTGACATCACACCTCCGTGTTCAGACTTGGAGGCTGAGGGGCTCCCCTCAGTTCTCCTGCCCTTGTCCTCAACCCTCCTTCTCCTCTGCCATTACAAAGACCCCGGGAGTTCCTTCCATCTCTCCTCCAGGCAAGAGACTCAACACCTGGCGGAAGGGACTCCCCATGTGGGTCATCGGTACTGCAGCTTCTGTGATCTGATTTCTACCGACTGAAATGAATGGCCTGGGCCAGGCTGCAAGAGCACCGAGGAAACAGCACCAAACGTCACATTCAGGGACGCAGCCTGCGTTTCTCTGCCTGCGTTTAAAGAAAGGCAGGGAGTTGCTTTCATTCCACATTGCTTTCTGACATCTTCTCCCAAGATGTACAGTCTGGCTTTTAAAAGCAGGGAGGTGCAGACTTTCTCTTTGGCCTTGCGGAGGTGACAGCAGGCTGAGGGCCCGCATTCCCCGCTGTCTGCAGAACACACTACTCGCTAGTCCCCACTACTACTGGTAGATACACTACTCACAGTCGGGGAGCTGCTGGGGTCAGTGCTTTGTCCTTTGTCAATGTTCCTACCCGTAAATCTGAAGGACGACAGAAAGCTGCTTCTTCAGTCTGCAGTCAACACAGGCTGGGAGGGACCACTGGTATGAGATTAAAGATGCAAAACTATTCCTCAGTTGAGACTAATATGAATGACAGAGTTCTGCACTCAGTTTGTAAACATCAATGGCGCCCTGGCTGGTGTGGCTCAGTGGATTGAGCACCAGCCTGCAAAACCAAAGGGTCACCGGTTCAATTCCTACTCAGCATACAGGCCTGGGTTGCAAGCTAGGTCCCCACTAGGGGGCACACGAGAAGCAACCACACATTAATGGTTCTCTCCTTCTTTCTCCCTCCCTTTCTTTCTAAAAATAAATAAATAAATAATATTTTTTTAATTTTTAAAAAATCAATGGCACCATCGTGAGGTATACATTAATTGCTACTAAACCAGGAAATGAAAAAGTACATAGTGAGATGTAACAGAATCATGTTTATTTTCAGTGTATTGCCCTTCAGTCAGAGCTGACTGAACAAGGGGTGGGCACCTGACTTGAGTTGGCCAATCAGCTTCTCCCCTGAGACTTTGGAATTGGCTGCTGGCAACAGAGCCAGAAAATTGTGTCACTCTAGGGCTGCAAGGCCATTTCCTGCTGTGTGCATAAAGGCAGAGAAGGCTGATCCCGCAAGGGAAAGTGGGCCTGCGAGAGGCAGAGGCAGGGCCCCGCAGCCTTGGCGACACAGGGGAAGCTTCCTCGGTGCCTGCCAGCTTTCCGGTTCTTCCCTCCAATCCCAGGTGAGGAAAAGTCACGCTGCCTGCCTTTGGGGGTCTAGCAGCTCCTCGGGCACTCTCCAGACAACACCCCTTTGTTGCTCAGACTGGGCTGAGGAAATTTCATTCACCTGTAGCCAACCAACCCCTGATAAAGACACTTCCAAAATGCAGATGTCGTTCAATCATCGAGATGCTCCGTAGGTCAAAAGAACTTCCAGGCTCTGTCTTATGGTGACAACACAATTCAGCCCCACCCAGGGAGGACTAGGGCCACCATTCATTCCACCAGCATCAAGGGCTCCGCCTGCCCCTTTCTTGCAGATCACAGCTATGGGGTTTGGCTCTATGGTTCGCGTATGTGAAAATGTCAAAGCAGCTTTCCTTTTCGGCATGATTGGCCTAACAAGCATTAAATCTTAAGGGCTTAGTTCTTAATGTGTCATCAAGCCAAGCAGTGAAATGCCTGGAGAGAAGTTGGTCGGGTTAGAATAACGCCCACCACCTCAGAACTCCCCGAGTCCCTGTGGGTCTGTTTGCCAGGAAAGCCTGGGATTGCACGCCCCCCAGGGCGCTGATGAGAGCTGCAGAGACGGCGGTCCCCAGGGCAGTGATCTGAAGCGTGGATTCTGGAGCAGGATCACCTGGCTCAAATTCTGCTCTAGCCCTTACTGGCTGTGTGACCCAAAGAAAGTTACTTAAGCCCCACTCAAGTAACTTAAGTTTCTTTATCTGTCAGAGGGGGCTGGTGTGAGGAGGAAACAGGCTGTTCGAGGGCTGCACCTGGGTGAGAGCCTGGCTTCCTGCAACAGGCCCCGGAGCCTGCCACGGAGGGCCCTTCCCCCACTCCTCCCCCACTCAGAGGACCTCCCAGGAGCCAGACACCTGCTCCTGGGGGTCTCATCCCAGACAAGACGCAGTCTCTGCCCTCACGGAGCTTCTCAGTTCTTCTCTCCCACTCTGTGGGCCCCTGGCACCCAGCTGCAGGGTTAAGGCATGATGGGGCCAGCAAGGCCGGGGAGCCAGCAGGGGCAGCTCTGCCCGGAACGAGCCCCCCAGCTCACCCAAGGAAGACGCTCAGGTCTCACGGACTTGCTCTGGTGTCCTAAGCGACACACCAGGGGTCCAAAAGAGGCCTAAAACTCCCCATCTTTCTGAGTGTAGACTTGGGCTGAATGCAGACCCTCGGGGTCGGTCTGCTAAACAATGAGAGTAGAAGCTGATGTGACTCACTGACAAATATATACAGCTGACCCTTCAACCACACCAGTGGGAACCGATGGGGTTTACTTACATGAGAGTTTTTCCAGTAAATACATACAATACTATAAATCTATTTTCTGTTCCTTATAATTTTCTTAATAACATTTTCTTTTCTCTAGCTTATTTGATTGTAGGAATACCTACATAATACATAAAAATATGTGTGCAACAACTGCTTGTTGTTGGTAAAGCCTCCAGCCGACAGTGGGCTCTTATCAGTTACGTTCGGGGAGTCAAATGTTACACGTGGATTTTCAACTACATCAGGGGCCGCGCCCCTGACTCCCTGACCCCCGAGGTGCCCGAGGGCCCACTGTGCACGGTTTCACCTGCAGACGCACTGAGAGGGACAGTCGAGGGTGGGGCAGCGGCGTCGGTGATGGGGAGCGGCGGCAGCCGACGTCGGCTGGGTGCCCCCGTGTGCCGGGCACCGTGCCACGCACGGCACGTGTGCGATCTCCGCTGACCCTTCCGGCGCCCACGAGGCGGGTGTCGCCGCCGTCTTACAGACAAGGAAGCTGAAGCCTGGGGCGGTCTCAGGCTCACCCGTGGGGGGGGGTGGCAGCAAGGGATCAGCAAACATGTCCCCGAGGTCTGACCCCTGGCTCCTGTGGGACGCAAGATCGAGTTAAATTCTGAGGATCTACAGGCGAGCCCTGCCTCAGTCGGTCTGAGTGCTTTGTGGACAGTGAAGGACGGGCACCACTTGTGGGGCACTCGGCACACAACAGACCCTGGTTACTATTTCAAAGCCATCATCTCCTCCACCCTTCACAACACTGAGAAGGAGGGGCAGCGAAGGGCCGTCCGTCCCCATTTTACAGACAAAGACACTGGGGCTCTGAAGGTGGAAGTGCCCGGCTCTCTGAGCACCAAAGTTTGGATCAAATGCTTCGACTCCCAGTTGCGAAGCTACACTCCTCCCCAGTGGACAAATCTGCGTGGAAATATACAGGAGTCCCGCCCTCGATCCCTTCCTCTCAGATTCCTTAGAGAGCATCTGCTGCCGACTTCACAGAGCAGGCGAGTCCTGCCACATGAGTGTTTTTTTCTTTTTTGACACACGCACTGGTTTTAAGATAATCTTGATGAGTCGCCAATGCTAAAAATAAGAATATTCTACATTTCTGATTTCTCTTAATTAAAAGGAAAAGGGAGACCTGGCACGCTGGCCTTGCATCCCCGAAGCCAAAAAGCAGCCCGAGTGAAGCGGCACTACCCCTGGAGCTGAGCTCTGCTCTCTGGTTAGCCACAGTCCTCACCGCTCCCTATAGCACTTCCAAACCCAGGCAAGCGTCAACTGCTATCTATCATCATACCTGTGTTATTTTTCTAACAGTGCAGTTAAGAATAAAGTGAAGTAACCTGAGACCAATGTCTCTATCCTAGATGGAATAACCCAGTCTAGGTTGGAAAAGCCATGTACCGAGAGAAAAAGTGAGCGAAGGGACACATCTTGGTGGCAATGACAAGTATCTCTGAGTTTAACATGAAAAGCATGTCTTGCCCATTTCACTCACTGCTGCCAGCTGAGACAGTAAATTTGTAACCCCTGGCTGATGAGGAAACAGGTCCGGGGGCGAAGAGGCTTGGTGCCAGTCAGCAGCCCCGCGCAGGGACGGCAGCCAGTCAGACCGCTCCTCACGCTTACCTCGGCCATCGCCGCGCCCGCCGCTGAGGGCGTCCTTCTTCGGGCCCCTCCTCCCGCTGGCAGGACGCCCCCTGTTGGAGGGCTGGTCAAAGATGTCGAGGTCATCACTGCAGACGGTGGGGGCCACCCTCTGGGCTCTCTCTCCTTTGATGCCATTCTGGCTGCTGGCCCTCCCGTGCTCACGCCTGAGGCCTTTGTCCCCCGCCTCTCCGGGCCCCCCACTCATGGGGTCCTCTGACGGAAGCCTGTCTTTCCAGTCCAGTGGCTTCTCAGGACTCAGCCAGAGGGGTTTCGGCTTCCTGCCCTTCCCCGGGGCAGAGGGTCGGAGCCAGGATGGGGTTTTCCCTGGAGGCTCAGAGACTTTTCTGCCTGTGAGGTTTTCCAGCTGCTGAACCAGTGAGAGCCCCTGGCCGAGAGGAGGGCAGTCAAGGGGGTGGCTGGGGGGCACACTAGGCACACCCCTGATCGAGGCTGGGGCTGCTGACACGCCGAAGTCACCCTCTAACGTGGACAAGCTGCCTTCCACGTGATCCGGAGAATTCATCCTCTCACCAAGCGAATTTCCTGGGGGTGCACCCTCCGCACCCACGGCAGCTCCGATGGGCTCCGAGTGCTCGGCGCCGAGCTCCTCGTCCCTGCCCGGGCCAGCGGGCGTGCAGGCGCCTCTGCTTTCTTCCAACTGGGCATGAGTGTGGCTCTCCGCTCTCCCAGTTTTCTCCTGCTCCGGCCCGACCAGTATGCTCTGGTCAGCTGGGGCCTCCCCACCTCCTCTGTCCAACTGGCCATCAAAGATGAGGTTTCTGTTGACATAAAGCTTCACGTTCTTGGCACCAATGTCAAGATCCTGAAAACATAAAATGTAACAAAATGAAGATGCGTGGCATTAGACTGATGTATCAAATTGTGAAAGTAGAAGATACAAAAGAACTGTGGAATGCTGGAAACGAGTGCTCTATGGAACCACAGAGCTGGGAATATTAAACAAGGCTCAGTACCGTGTCTGCGTGAAGCCCGCACGCTCTATAAATCAAAGGACCTTCCCAGAGAGGTGGCCTCGCTGGTCTTTGTCACCAGTGCCTCCTGCTGGGACGTTTGTAATCGCCTGCTAATTGGTCTCCCTGCTTCCTGTCTCTCGCTGCCTCAACCTGGACTTCACATTGCCATCAGAGGCAATCGTTCTGCCAGCGCGGATCTGACCCGGCCACTCCCCCTGGAGAAATCCCGGGTTTTTTCAGCTGCCTGCAGAGCTTTCGTTAAAGGACGTTCCCTGGGCCCTCCACATCAGAAAAGCTTGACAGGTGCAAGAGATGCAGACTCCCTGGTTCAATGGGCATCACGTTTTCGGCGTCCTGAAAGCAGAGCCTGAGTCAAGGGCCTGAGTGCAGGTAGCTTGTTTGGAAAGGTGCTCCCTACCAAAGTGCCAGAGTCAGACAGGGTAGAGAAACCCACCCCCCCAAAATTCTCGAGCTGGTCACTGCTGTAGGCAACTGGGGCTCCATCCCACGGAGGCCGTCTTTCAGAGGAACCCGTGGAATGCACCTCAGAGTACCCCTCTCCAGGCGGGAGTCTGGGGCACCTCTCTGCTGACCCCCTTCCCTGCGGCTGCAGGTTGCCTGGGGGTGTGCGGCTTTGGGGCCAGCCTGAAGGAGGGAAGCGCCGAGGGCGGGCCCTGTCTGCCTGCCCAGCCGCCCCACCTGGGGGGGGGGGTGCTGGGAAGCCTCGGGCTATAGTGCGGCAGTGCACTTGAACGTGTTCTCCGGATGACTCTACATTCTTTGCACATAAAATGTGGAGAACCTCACGCCAATGCGATGAATTCCGAACCCTCAGTGCGACAGGACAAAGGGCCCGGCCAGCCTTCCTGTGTCCTTCTCCGCTAATGCTATGAGGGTGTTCGATGCTGCTTTGTTTGTGCTGAAAAGGAACCGCACCTCCTCCCGCTACTGCCTGCTCCGTCCATTCCTCTTTACACAAAAAGATTTTTAAAAAGCAGCTTTATCGAGGAATACACATTTAGTACAGAGTCTATTTTTTAAGTGTGTAACTTGATAAGTTTAAAAACAAGCATAAACCCACAAAATCATCTCTCCAGTCAAGATAATGGACACATCCCCCCGAAGCTGCCTTGGACCCCTGGATAATCCCTCCCTGCCCTTCTCACCCCCACCCCCAGGCAACCACCCACCCACCAGCTTTCTGTCCTACAGACCAGCTTGCATTGCCTAAACTTTTAAAAGGGAAGGAATCATGCACTCGGTACTCTGTGGCCTGGCTTCTTTCGTTTGGCATAATTATTTGAAGATTCATCCACACTACCTGAGTTGACACTTTTATTCCTCTTTCTTGCCAAGGAGAATTCCCTGGCCGGGGTGCCCCGCTGTGCATTTGCCTTTGCAGCAGATGTGTTCAGCATCACTGTCACGGCACTTCTCCTCCCTTCTCTCGGGGCCCCGTGGCCCCGCTGCAGTCAGGCCTTTGCCTCAGCCTCTCTGTGGAACCCACCCCACCGAGGGCACCCATACCTGGGGTGCAGAAACTTCTGTCTGTCTGGGACAATTCGATGCACTCCTGTGGTCCTGGTGTAATCATTCACGGAACCCTCTTTCACTCTCAGAAGTGCCCTGGTTTGGACAGTTTGAGGGTCCAGCAGGCTGCCAGGTCCACTGGGAAATCCTGTCCTCGGGCAGGGCGGCCACTGGCCGTGTTCGAGCTGTGGGCCATTCCTCCTCAACAGCTGTCCCTCCCCAGGCTCCCAGGCTCCGCTGCCCCTGCCCACTCCTCCGCTGGGCCTCCTGCTCAGCGGGGCCTTGGGCGGCTGGGCACAGCCCTGGGCCCCCGGATTCCCTTCACGTTCTCACTAGGTGGCCTCAGCCAGGCCAAAAGCCCTGAACATCATCTTTGTGTTGATGACTCTTGATTATTTTAATCTCCTACCCTGACCTATCCACTAAGCCCCTAGTGACCACAACATTTCTTCTTCAATATCTAACAGTTATCTCAACCCTAACATGCCCCAGACAGAATTCTTAACTCACTTTTCCCAAGCTTAGTCCTCTTACATCTTAAAAATGGTTGCACCATTGTCCTTAATGGTATAGCTCAGGGGACTGGGTGTCACCCCGCAAGCTAAAAGGCTGCAGGTTCAATTGCCAGTCAGGACACATGCCTGGGTTGTGGGCCAGGTCCCCAGTTGGGGGTGTGCGAGAGGCAACTGACAGATGTATCTCTCCCTCTCTTTCTCTCTAAAAATAGATAGACAGATAGATAGATCAAATCTTTTTGAACAATTGTTGCACCCTTCAAACACTGCCCAAACCCAGGAGTCCTGCCTGATTCCTCTTGCCTTCTCGCTCACGCAGACAGGCTGCTGGAAGTCCCACTGCCCTAACCTCGACCTCCCTTCCGAACCTGACCTCCCAAGCTCCGTGGCCGGGCCACCGTCGCCCTCCAGGAGACAGCGCCACGACCTCCTCCTGGTCCCTCTGCTCTTCTCTGCCCACTCCGCACTGTCACTGCTTCTCCACCCCCAGCGCACGCACTGCATTTTCTACACAGCAGCCAGGCTTTTAAAGCAAACACACACGCAAAACTTACCAGGTCACGGCAGCCCCCTGCTTAAAACCCTCCAGTGAGTTCACACGACACATAAATCCCACCCCCCTTCAGTGGCCAATAAGGCCTCCTGACCCTGGCCCCTGACCCCTCTGACCTCAGCCCCGCCCACCCTATCCCTCCTCCCTCCACTCCCACGCTGGTCTGATCGCCGTCCCTTGACCCTGCCAACTCAGCCCCACCTTGGGACCTGAGAGCTCACCTGGAATGCTCTTTCCAGACACCTGCGGACGTGGCCCCATCTCGTCCTCAGAGATGCGGGCCCTCCCTCTAGAGCAGCCCCTCCCCATCTGTCCCCTCTCTATTCCATCACCCTGTTTTGTTTCTTTCTTGTGTCTGAAGTGGTCTTATCAGCTTTTACAGTTATTTATCGTCTCCCCATTCAAAGTTAAGCTTTGGTATCTTGATACCAGCGGACCTTGTCCAATCTTGCCCAAGGGCCCAGCAAGTACCTGGCACACAGTAGGTGTTCAACAATCACTTTGGAATCGTTAAGTGAATAAACGCAGGTATTTCTCTCCCAGGGCAGCACTGTTCTCTGACAATGTTCTGAGAACAACCTCATCAGAAAAATGCTCACCTGACCACTGTACTCCCAGGCCACCTTCCGTCTCACCCAGGCTTCTGATCTGCTCTTCGGAAACGGGCCCCGAGACCCCAGAGGGGCATCTGCACTTACCCACCCCCGGCCCCCCCGAAAGCCAGGGGAGCAGCTCTAAGTTTCTCCCTCACCAGGTCCTTGCTACGAAGCTTTCCGTGGCGATGTAGAATGAGACCCATCACATCTGTGCCGCACCACAGGACTGGCTTCAGTCACCCGCTGGGGGACGGCAGGCTCCCACCCGCCGACCGTCAGAGAAGTCAGTTCTGCAAGTGCTCCTTTGCATGTTTGTATGGACGTGTCCTCTGTTTAGCAGAGGCGCGGAGCGGGTGCATGGCGTGAATGCATCAGGAGGTAGCTATTTGAGAAGGACAGCACGAGCTGTTTTCAATGGCAAGTCCCGCAAAATGATTGCCATGGAAACATCTGGCAGGACAGAAACACGCTCACTTAAAGAGGGGGTGGGGTGGTGGGGAGGCCTTTCGGTCCAGCACAGTCAGTCGGTCATGAGGTGGACATCCTGGCTTTTACAGCAAGGAGTCTGGCTCCCAAAATGTGTTTGTCTACCTTTCATCAACAGTCTGGAGCACCATCTGAGCTCTAGCCGTTGCCGCTTGGCTCTCCAGGGGGTCTGGCTGACAAGGGACAGAGTGAGGGGAGCAGGCTAGGGCAGGGGTGTAACCTCCAACACCCTTAGGGGCCAGGCACGTAGGACAGAAGTGGGCCAGGGAGGAAACCGCAGGCAGTGACATGGGGCACAGGGACAGGGCAGGCTCGTGTCTGGCCTGACAGTGCTCATCTCTGCAAAGTTCCCAACATTCTTTAGGCCAAATGAGCCATGTCTGTGAGTGGATTTGGCCCGAGGACCACAGAGTGGGGACCCGGGAGGGGAACTGGGACTTTTTAGCAATTCCCTGTGGACCAGCTCTCTCCTACTGCCCTCCTGGCTCCCTCCTTGGCCCACAGAGGCCGTCGCTGTGTGCCCTGCACGCTGTGTGCTTCCAGACTCTTCCCCACACTTACGTCCATGTCGATGTAAGTGTCTTCTCACATCAAAGGCACGGTTAGAATAAAGAGATGCACCTGTGCAGCGTGGGGAACCCAGGGGGAGGGTCCGGCAGGTCCGCACCCCTTGGCGTCCCCAGAGTAGAACTCTGGGTAAGGGATGTCTTCCGAGGTGGAGTTGGGGGAGCTTCTCTTGCTCCTAAAGAACCAGCTCGCCTCCTACTTCCCACTGACCAGCACTGCCGTCCCAGCTTCTGTTCCTGTGTTCTTCTCATTGCCTCGGTGCTGATATTTTCCCCCTTGTTTAATGAGAGTTCTCGTTATGCTTCTGAGTCCTTTTGCAGTAGATTTTCAAAAGGGCGCTTTGCGGACCAACTCCCAGAGGCACGGGCGCTAAGGGGGCATCTTTCCTAGCCCACATCCTGACTTTATCTTCCTTACAGCTGGCCAGGACCAACCATGTTGAGACAGTAAGGCAATTTCAATACAACGGTATTAATAGTATTTGTATCTAAGAAGTTCAATGGACTGGCCAAGGCTACATTCCTCCCCGGCCCCAGCGTCCAAGGGTCTGCCTGCCTCCTCCAGTGAGTGCACGGACTGCTCAGCAAAGGTTGGCGGGGCCC